TGGTTTGAGTTTCATTACATTTTACAATCACAGTTCAACTCATTCAGGCTAAATTTCTCTTCAAAAGTAGGAGCTTCTGAAATTTATCCGACATTTAGGAAACCAAATAACAAAGTTAACTTAGTTCTTCCTAAACCACATCCAGGAGATTCGAATAGAAAACGAATTAATTATGCCTTCTAATAATTTGTCAGATTTGGAAAAAGGAGCCCACTTTTTTACCACTAGTTCAGACGAAGCCTCACCCAATTTCCAGAGCCCGCAGTCGGTCAACTCGCCGGGTTCTCCCGCTAACCACGAGGTTTTCTTTTTCGCTGACACAAATTCTAGGGCTGGCAAAAGCCGACAAGCACCGCCTCCGTCGGCGCCGGTGCTGAATCATAATGCCGAAGCAATACACTTCTCGTTTTCCGGCGACATAGAACACGAACTCACTTCAGGAGTGTCGGAATTAGCCGATGGCAGCAACGAAGACTGGCAAAAAGGCATATCGGTCTCTGGCGAGGACGAAATTCCAGTTAGTGAACTGAACATCAGCGGTAGCGGGTCGGGAAACTTTTCCAGACAACGATCCGGCTCTATAATTTCCAAAGTAAAACGAAGTATTTCAATGAGCGGAGGATCAAAATCAAGTAGTAGCGTGAACATTTGCGGACCAGTAGCAAATAGTGCACCGAGACCCAGAACCCGAACGCTCAAAAAAACGAATTCGGTTCGAGGCAGTTACAGAGACAGGCTTGAAGAGCACCGAGATACGGAAGACGACGATGCTCTGATCCTCGGAACTATTTCTTCAATGACGATAGGGCACTGCTGAATATAGCAAGCACATTCATGACCGATATGATATTCCGATTGTTCCGAGAGGCATTTAAAAGAAACAGAAGTGCGGGATTTAAGTCTTTCCTCCACATTCAAATTTGGCAATATAATAGACAAGGAACCTCAAAATTGATTATAAAAGACATTTTGAACAGCTGCTTTATTTTTAACAATAGTTATTTAGATTTTTTATAAGTACATTTTGCCGAACTGACAAAATAATTATGCTGCAGTTTAAATTGTTTTCCATTAGCATGAGTATTATAATTATAACAAGCACAAGAAAAAATTTTCAATTAGTTGCTGCCTTCTAAAAAAATATAACCAACAGAGAGTTGGAAAAGAGTCATGAACGCAAGGAAATAGAAAAATACTGACTTTTTTTAAAAGACTTCAAATTTCGAATTTCCGAGGAAATATAGACGGTCGTAAAGCTCTTTCAATTTCAATAAAAGTTGAGAAAACTGGATCAATAGGTGAAATTTTTATTTTGCTGGTAAATCTGATAATTAAATTGTACTATAGACATAATTAAAAACAGACACAACTTTGAATGTAACAATTTGGAATTTAACAAACTGCAGGCATCCACACTAAATTTGCATGTAATAAATTTAAAAGCAAAAAGCCAAATTATGTGTAACTTATGCATTTCAAAGAAATTTGCGATATCTTGAGTTTCTGAAATAAAGTTTCTACTTTCGCACTGTTGATTGAATTAAATAGTTTTTTCGTTTCATCTGATGAATTAAAAAAAACCATTAATTGGGTTAGCTTATTACTGATCGAATGTTAAAGCACATGATATTAAAAAACCGTTGAGGTGCCACCAAAAGTGGCACCAAAGTTTACTACTTAGGTTGTAAAACTAGAATAGTCGCACTTTCACACTAAGCTCGCTAAACCTCGCTAAGTTAAACAAAGCCAACAGAAAGTTTGAAAAAAGTCCAGGAACTAAAAAAAAACAGAAAAACTGACCTTTTTTTGAAAAATATTTAACTTTCGAATGCAAAGTAAAAAGTATGCGGCCTTGATCCTCTTCGAAATTGAAGACAAATTTATGATTGTCACTTTTTTGATAAAATGAACTGAATTTGAAAAACTGGATTAATAGGTCAAACTTTTATTCCGCTGGGAAATCTGAAAAATACTTTCTACTTTCGCAACTAGAAATCTATCACGTTTTTCGTACCTTTTTTATTTTCTTAGATTAACTAGTTCAAATTACTATTAACTTTCAGCAGTTGAATATAATATCAACTCAAAAAGTGCATAATATACCTAAGCGCAATCAATGATGCATCAATATGTATGTATGAAATCTGTAATTAGTAAAGCCTTTTAAGACTTTCTCCTGAAAAAAATTATCAGAGTTATAACACACATCATTATGTATGAATGCACATCTGTAATTAATAGAGCCTTATAAGACTTTCTCCTGAAAAAAAAATATATAAGACTTATACAAAAGTCGTCTTCTCTATGTCCATCGACTCTTAAAAATATATTAACCGGAGATCATATTTCGTAAATTTATGAGCATTTGAACACTGCCAGTTTGGCATATTTGGGAAAATCAACTCGCGATACATTTCTGAACGCGTAAGTGACAATTTAATTGGGAGCACAAATCGTTCCAAATTGAATTGAGGTAAGCTAATAGGAAGATTTTTTTGAAATTCTATCATTTTATTACTTTTCAAAATTTCATCAACAAATTTATTTGACTTTAAGAGGAAGTCGGAACATTCAGGGCTTTGCCCTGATACGAACAGTCTTGCTATTTATTGACACGGACATCAATGAACAAAACCAATAATCTTCAAATATCATTTGCCGAAAGCGGCAATCGGTTTCTTAACTAAATACTTTAAAGCGACACGCCTTTGCGTAAGTTTATTAACTCTTCGCAAATAATAGAAGCGCAGCTCGTAGTTTGCAATCAAGGTTCAAACGTTGCAAAGAATCGATCACGGGCAAATCTTGACCTTGCGCCCTACGCAGAGCTCAAAGGTTGCAAATAATATCAGTGGAAAAATAAATATTTCGTTTTGCTTACGCATACATAACACATCAGAAAATCCTTTCAACTGAAGTTTTAGGGTTTAGAATGTAGCCTTGAAATAAAACAAATCGTTTTTTTTCTAACATTTAGGTCATGTCATAGTGTCAAATCATTGAGAGATTAACAAATGACCTGAATGAACTGATTTAAGTTCAAAAACTCAGTTTAATCAAAACCAAAGTTTTATAGTTCAAAACGATCCTTTTCAGTAATAAAACGATGTTATTTAACGTTGAGCAACAAATCAACCAAAAATTTATTGATTTGTTTTGTTCGTTTTTTAAAATCATGTTTCAGCGCCGAAGTTCATTATACAAAAAGTTTATACAGTCATCAAGAACATATAACACAGAGTCAAAGCTGAGCTTCGCACCACTTGCAATACAACAAGCATACGATTAAAACAGCAAGAGACTCAAAAACTATCAAAGAGGACTTCGATAGTGGTTACCGTTTAAGAAAGAACTGGAAAAACAATTAAAAATCAACAGTTTTTTTTTTAGTTTAAAATTATTAAGTTTCAAAGAGTTCCAAAATGTCTGGAAATTGAGCATAGTAAAATTAAAATTTGTGGCTACAGTCTTACCAAGCTGATAAACAACATCGGAAATTTGTAGGAATTAAAATAGCTAATCAGCTGAAAATCAAATTTGTTCAGCCAAATACTATTGGAGAAAAATCGTGTACTGCCCAAATAGTATCCGCAAAAGCCATATATGTGCTGAACGCAAGGTGGTAAACACAATTCGGAAACTAAACCAAGAACTTAATCGACAACCATGAAGCCGAAAAACTATCACCAAAAAAGTAATACAATATTTTATCACTTACGTACAGCTAGATCTATCAAAATGAAGATAGTTTTGAAAAAAAAACATGCCCACACAAAAGAATGCAAAATCAGCATGGGAATAAAAACTTACCAAGCAGTAACAAAACCGAAAATACCTGAGCAGAAACCCTTCATGTTGAAAATTTTTTAAAATTTCTCAGCAAATAAAAAGAAATCCCCTATCCCTCAGAACACACAGGCGCACAATTTTTTTTTCGTTCATCAAACGACGCAGTAAGAGCCCACTAAGTTGATATAAAATAAGCCGAAACTGATTAGGCCGAAAAAAAATTGAGATAAAAACTAAATTTTAAAAAATCGATTTGGTAAAATTACAACCAATGTAAAAATGAAATTTCGATTTGGCCGGGTTTTAAAATGCTGAAAAACTAAAAGCATGTAAAACAAAAATCGTTAACAGCAAAAGTAAACGACTTTTGGATGTGGCAACTAAGCCGACAAAACGTAAGCAGACGAATCTTAGGTCGACAATTTCATTTGAAACAGATTATTTCTCGTTTAAAAACACAGGTCTTGCTCATATTCGAACCAAGCAACTTTGCCGTTTCAGGCGTTTTGGTCATTTCCATGCTAAGTGTGCAGGAGATAATAAGGAATGAATTCATTACGAAGCAAGGTACCACTAGGAGTCAGATGAGTCTTACGAACAAAGTTATTTACGGTGAAAAAGTCTTGTACCCGATTGCAAAACCCTTGCTTCTCGCAAGGGTAATAAGACAAACTGAAATTGGGTAAAAAACATGGGACGCCCATATGATGAAGCGCATTTCCGAACATCACAAAAAAACAATCACATGACATCTACTAACAAGACAATTAGCGATAAAAAATATAGTTTTTTGGTGACTTAGGCAGGGCAGTAACGCATCCCATTTCATATTTATTAGTATATTATAGCAAATTGGGAGTCATATAGCAAAAGCCTTTTTTGGAGTCATTATCAGCAAGTAAAATTTTAAAATATAAAGTTTTATTTTCAAGCTAGTATTTTACAATGATACCCGAGATTACGCTCTTTTCCAGTTCAGCCGTTTCTTTTTTTAAAAATTCAAATTACGAAACCCTATTTAAATTGAGTTTCGGTGTTCTAAACTGTAGTATAACATGTCAGCGTGTACATGTCAATTAAGTATTACGAAACTTGTTACGTGTAAATTACTGCATGAATAAGTTTTCGACAATTTTATTTTGTGATTTAACGAGGGGGTGGGAAACTGGAAAAAAGCCAAGAAAATAAATATCAACTAGACTATAACTAACCGTGTATTCTGCAATCTTGCACCAGACGGGAACTGTGACGACCTCCTTGGCGATGCCAGCGAAGCAAGGTAAGAAGTCTTGCATGTCGTTCACTTTAGACCACACGTTTTCACTCAGCCACGGCAAGTCTGGCTTGGGTGGTTTCTCCTAATCACACGCATACAATAGCTTATAGGGCACAGAAGAGTCCAAAGTTCAAAGTTTTGAACATTTTTTGCATCCCCCATAATTTTTAAACAAAAATCAGATACCTAATTCAATAATCGATTATTTGGGTGAAAAATGATGCGATTAAGTCGCTTTCTTAATGTTTTATGAAAATAGAGAAAAAATTATTCAGAACATGCGGGGCCACAAAAAATTATCAAGATAAAAACAGGCGAGTTTTAAGGTAGCTACTACAAAGTGGAAGTTGACTAACACACTTTCGCAGAAATACGAATCTTCAAAAAAAATTATTTCTGAAAAGACATGTAAATTGGTTTAATAGTTCAAATCTGCCAAGAGCCAAGAGCTTTGGCCTAATGATTCTACCAGGTAAGCAGTAATTATTGGATTTCATTGATTTATTCCTTTGAACTTGTACCATATGATGATGTTATTTTGTAATGCCTTCTGGAACATAAATATATTAATAAACAAAAAAGCAAAAAGGTTAGAGAAACAATCTAGGGTACCTTTTCGACTCCTGCAGCTCCTCTGAGGAAGAAGATCCACTCCTGGTCTGAGATCTGATTCTCCTGCTTCATGATATCAATACATAGCATGAACGAATAGACCAACTTGTGCGCCTCAAAAAGGCCTCGTGCCACATTCGAGTACACGTTGTATGTGGTGGCCGCGATCAGAATCTTCAGACGCTCGTCTAAATCTTCGGCCTTCTGGGCACTGTCGATTGTTGCGTTGAACAACTGAACAAAATTATACATCTACGTTTTTATGATACAAAAATAAATCGTTTTAAGGCAGAAAATAAACAAAATTTCACTAAATATGACTCTTGTTAATTTAGAACTGTAATCTAGATGACCGTTAGATCTAAATATCCGTTTCAGGTGCCTCTGATAATATAAACATAGCCAGACAGTTGGAAAAGAGTCAATGCACGCAAGTAAACAAAAAACTGACTTGTTTTTTGATAAAAATCTTAAAACTTCCAACTTTCCGAAAAACAGAGACTAATAAAGCTCTTTGAAGTTCTAGAACAGTTTAAAATAGACACTTTTTTTGATAAAATCAACCCAATTTGAGAATACTAGATCAATAAGTAAAAATTTTATTTCGCTGGTAAATCTGAAAATTAAATTCCACTTTCGAAACTAAAAGTTGATCCCGTCTTTCGTAACCTTTACACTTTCGTTGTTCAATAGTGAAGTTTGCCTTCCTTTGAACAAAACAAATTAATGAGCTCAACACGAAATCAAAAGCCAAACGGCAAAAAACTAAATTTGAGCTTAAACAAAATTTAAGATTTTTTCAGAAAAAAAAACGAAAAAAAATAAACAACCGAAAGTTAGAAAAGATCTAATGAAAGCAAGTAAACAGAAAGAATTACTCTGACTTTTTTTTTAAAATATCAATTTTCAATTTTCCGAAAAAAAAAGCGCCTTAAAACCTTTCGAAATTCTACAACATTTTATGATTGACACTTAGTTGATAAAATTAACCCGATTTGAGAAAGCTAGATCAATAGGTAAATTTTCATTTCACTGGGAAATCTGAAATTGAAATTCCATTTTAGAAGTCGATCACATTTTTCGTGAATTTTTTGCGATTCTGGAGTTTGCCTTGCTTTTAACAATGGGAAAGAACTAAACTTCAAAGAAATCAAAAGTCAAACTGCGAAAAAGTCAAATTCGAGCATGAAAAAATTTGAAAACTTTTCCTGAAAAAAGTCACCGCGACCTATATTGGAGTCTGAACTACCTTCATCGAATCTTAATAAACTGTTTTCAGGTAGAGACAAACAAAAGTATCCTAAATTATCCGTTTTTAAAATAAATCAGCGCACATTAAGTCCAAACAGAGCCCTGAAAGATTCAATTGATTATCTACTAAAAAAACATTGAAATTCGATTAGAACAATACGTTAACAATTCAATATCTCCAATTTATAATTGAGATTACCAGTTCCTCAAAAAATCAATCAGGACCATAAAATAAGTTGTATTTAAGTTATTAGTAATAAATTAAGTAATGACTGGGCCCATACATAAATAAAGTAAGGTCATAGACAACTAAGGCTCACAATGAAAGGTTACTCACATTGATAAACTAATTTTAATAAAACTGTTACATGGGTGAGTTGATTAGAGTAATTACATCAGACAGCCGGGTCTTAAATTACCATAGTAAAGTCATTCATGGCCATAGTAAAGTCATCACATTGCTATAGCAAATGCATTGCAACCGGGTCCTAAACTTTTTTTCCCGTAAACAACTTTGTTCACAGGACTCATTTCCTGGAAGCCTTTTGTAGCAACAAATTGAATGCAACAGATATATTTTGCAACCGAGTCCCAGAATTTTTCCAGTGAATAACTTTGTTCACAGGACTCATTTCCTTGAAGTTTCGGAAGTTTAGGAACAAATTAACTGCAACAGACATATTTTGTGCATGTTACATTTTAGATATCTCGCATATTCGAAATTTGCTTTTATATTGATTGTGATTTTACCAACTCGATTTGTTAAAATTTCCTTGATTTTTTCGTTTCCTTTTTTCGGCTTAATAGGTTTCGGCCTACAATATATGGTTACTGGCCTCACACTACGTCACTTGACGATAAAAAATTTTTTTTGTTCATATGTGTGTTTTTTGTTGGCGAGGGGGACTTAATAACTTTTTGTAACTTGAAAGTATATTTTGAATTTTTTTTCGTTTTTTCTTTCACTTTTTGTCGGCTTGAAGGGTTTTTGCTACGGTATTTTTGGTTTTTTTAACCATTTGGTAGGTGTTTTCCCCTGATAATTTCACATTGTTTTGTCTTGCATGTTTTTGTTTCAAAACTAGATTTATTCATTTTGATAAGTTAGTTTTTTCGACATTTTCGAGTTTTTTTTCCAAGCTAGGGGCTTTCTTGTTTTAGGTCGCAAGTGGTGCGAAGCTCCACTTCGCTTCAGAGTAGATAATTAAGACTTTTAAAAGCAACTATGACTCACATTGCTGAACTATTATTATGAATTTCTGCATAGGTTAACTAGAGCAATAGTTAGAGCCGTAGCCGAGGCCATATATGACCTTCGGAAAGTCATAGACAACTAAGACTCTCAATAAGACTCTCACTATGACTCATAATTCATAATTGCTGAAATTCCTTTATCAACTGATGCATAGAATAATTAGAGTATTAACTGAAGTCATGGCCGAGGTCATACATAGCCATTTGTAAGGTCATAGACAGCTCAAAATCTCCTAACAAACTATGACTCACATTGCTGAAGTACTTCAAGGAGAACTGGTACATGGGGTCTATCTCAGCCAGCGAGGCTATGACGAAGTAGAGGACAGAGCCCCTGGTGGCCACAGTCCTGTACTTTTCCCTGGCAGTGTTGATCTGTGCCTCAGTCACCTCTGTCTCCTTCAGTCTGTTCGTGATCGTGTTCGACGTCACCTGTTGTGAACAGAAATCGTCACATTTTGTAATTAGAAATCGTCACATTTTGTGAACAGAAATCATCACATCTTGTGAACAGAAATCGAGCTCAACAAAAGCAAAAAATTAAATTTCAGGCCACATGTAATGCACGCAAATTGGGTTCAACAAAAACAACGATTGCAGTTTAAGAAAACTCAACTGTTTAAAAAACAAACAGCACAAAAATACACCTGTGGTAAAAAAAACGGAGAAAATTGGAACAAATTGCAGGTTTTTAAAGTCACAAAACATTCAGCAATAAATTCACAGCGAATTGCAGTTGTACACGATAAAATTGTCTAGCAATTTATTTAAACTTTTTGAATTCACTTAAAATTTGTTTCATAGAGAAAAATTATCAAATGCAAAAACGAGAATTAAAAATTATAGCTGACCATCGTTGTAAAAATACATGATGCAAATATATACTAAGCGGTAAAAAACTTTGAACTTGTAATTTTTAAAAACTGCTAAAAATTCCGGACAGAAGTGAAAAAAAATCATGTAGCAGAAAACCAAACAGTTAAAAGTGAACTCTAATAACCTTGGAGTCGTTGAGAGACTTGATGAGCTGTTCGTCGTCCAGGATGTTTCCCTCTGAGTTGAACAGCTGTTTGAGGATGTTGTCCTCGATGGACTTGAGTTGGTTCTTGTCACTGTTGATCTTCACTATCAACTGGTTCCTCTGCTCCTCCAAGTCAGGTCGCTCAATCCTCACCACGTCTCTACAAACACGACAATGTACTTTTATGTTAGGACTAGGGTTCGAATCGCAGCAGGAACCCGTCTTCTTTCTAACCTTTTCCCCAATTTCAAGTTTTTAAAAATTTTTTATAAATTTTTCTCCAAGGGCAAGTTGCTGGAGGATCAACAGATCATGTTATTTGTTCGTTCCGGGTCTCGGTACTCCCCTGCACTAGAAACGGATCTACAACTTTCACGAGGGGGATTTAAAAATAGTAGCCTGCCACGATTCTGTCTATACTGCTCGTTTTAAAAATTACACATGGTGAATTACCCAGCACTATAAAATCGTTCCAAATTGAATTATTATGAGCCTAATAACAGGACAGTCGGAACATTCAGGGTTTGGCCCTTATACGAGCAATTCTCTTTGTAGATACAAGCGTTTGAAGTTCAGTGCTATGTTAATGCCTAAAAATTAACCCCAATCATGCCTGGTAAACAGTTTTTATCGTCAAGAACTAGTTTAAAATCTAAAACCAAATTCGATAGATTATTAATGAGTCACTGTGATATAATTTGAGGCAACATCGAGGCAATATGAAGAAATTAAAATACCGGTACAAATATAAATTGAGGCGAAAATCGAATAATATATTTTTCTAACGAGCTAATGTTACTGGGGCGAAATTATTTCAAGTAAAAAAATCTGAGAATGCTTTGCAGATACAAGCAACAAAACTCTGAAAATTCCACTAAAGCTAAAAATAAGCCGAAAAAAATACTGCAAAAGAACACGAGTGCCAACTTTTTGATAGTTCAATAGACAACCGAGACGTTTTTGTTCCGACGTTCTGACTTTAAACCAACAGTTTGCTGGGAATTTTTTAAATCATCCGAAAAATAGTAGGACTCTAACTTCAAATTGAACAGATATTCCACTTACTGTCATTTTTTGTTAAACACAGATGCGAAGCTGTGCTTCGCAAACACTTGCGAGAACACAACCAAAAAGCAGCTCTATCAAATGAAAAAGAAAAAGTAGAAATAAGCCTCGAATTAGCAAAACTCGGCTACGTGTAGGATTTGAATCTACGACCAACTGCAATCAAGAGATTTTGAGTCTGATGCACTATCCACGCAGCAACACAAGCTTAACAACCGGCAAGCACTGGTCACGAATAAAGCAGCTACATATTATGCTGATAAATTGCCAATGCAATTCAACAAAAGTGGGTTGAACCAAATTACGCAGGGAAAACCTTAGCACCATGTTAGTTTTGCTATACTATCAATCTCAGAATCAGCAGATTTGTTTTGAAAAAAAGAATAACTTTCCAAAAAACGAGCAAAATTTCAAAAATTGGACATTTTCTAAGGCCATATAAACTTTTTCAAAATGCAGGACATAGCCGCTTCTGCAGGTAAGATTCGAATAACTGATTATTTTCTTTAGGTTTTCTTTCTTTTTCCGATTTGGCAGGATAGTTTTTGAGAAAATTCAAAAAGTTTTAAGCCAAAATTTCAAAAAGTGGGCTCTTTTGAGGCCATATTTTTTCTACCGATTTTGGGGAACAGCCGCTTGAGATGGGGAGATCCCCATAACGTGTTATTTTGATTGAAACCTTCATCTCAGATTTGTGCCTTTAATAGTTCAGAAAATGAAAAAAGTCGAAACAAATAGGTAAAAAAACCCTACTGAAACTTTCGAAGGACGTAGAAAGTGAGTTAAAATGAAAATAGACTAGCTAAATATTCCGACACGTTGAAGAGCAGCCGGTTTTTGAAAATCGATACAGTAGATTTTTATGAAAATTAAATTTTCTGCAAAAAGTGCAAAAAAAAATTCCAAAGCGTTGCAAAAAAAAACGAAAAACATTAAATCCCATACATTTTCATGATACATGTTTTTTTTTCAAATAGGACCTAACACAAGCCAAAAACAAAGGAGCAACATATTCCATTAAATTGTTGATGCTTAATAAGCCTAAAATGGTTAAATTGAAATATCAAAAGAGCCACCAAATGAGCAATTTTATTTGCTACTAGGGATGAAAATTTTTTTTCCTAATAATACACTACGCTGGCTTGTGTAATTATTGTAATGTTGTTTGAAACAAATCACTTTTTTCGGTTCATTTGAACAATGAAAAATGAATCAACTGTGTTAACTTATTACTATCCGAAAGTCAAAGCCTTTGTTAAGAAAAAGTTGTAAAGGTGCTCCAAAAATGGCACCAATATTTGCGACTTAGGTCGGAAAAAAGAAGGTTCGTACTAAAACACTCGCTTCGAAAGTGAAAATATTGAGGTTTCAAAATTGCCCATTATCCCAATTTGGGTTAGTTACCTGGCGATGTATTTAGATCTATGAAAATGTTAGCGGCAAAACATTCTGGTCCAGAAATCAATCAAGACTAATTGACACGGAATACTTGTGCTCGTCGTGTTTTTTCTTCAGACAAATTTCGACTTTTTAACTAGCTATTTTTGACGGAATTTTTTAATATCATTCGAAAGGTATTGTTGTCCTGAGCTTAAATTTGAAAAGATATTTTACCTGTGATCATTTTTCGTAAAGTTATGGGGGTTTAAAGATCGCCATTTTGGCCAATTTGGGACAATTAACGCGCGATATATTTCGCGTTGTTAACGCGTAAGCGGAGATTTACTCCGTCTTAAAAATAGTTCCAAATTGATAGAAGGACGCTTATATGCCATAATTGATTTGGCAGAGGAGTGAAGTTTGTACTTAAATGGCGTGCGGTGGGATGATCTTTTAACAAAAAATCCTAAAAAAAAAATTCATTTTATTTTTTTTACATCACCCAGAGGGAGAGGGTGATTGTTAAGTAGATCCCAATATTAATTGGAATTGACGGTAAATAACTGACCCCAGAAGTTGGTCCTCCAGGCCTTTCTTAGTGACTGTGAAGTTGATAATTGTGACCTTGATGCACACTTCAGGCAGGTAGTGGGGGTTGGACATTTTAGTCGTCATGTAGAACTTGAAGTTCTTGTCGTAGTCTATGTCTGAGTCACCCAGCCGGATCAGAGTTCGACCTCCCTAAAATTAAAACAAAGGATTAATTTCAAAAATATAATCCTATTTCTACTATGATGGACAATGAAGCATAGTTTCAACTTTCAAATAAAGTCTCAATGAAATCTAATTTTAGCGGTTTTGCTAGACAAAAAATGAGATAGCACAGAAACACATAAAAATGGCGGATTTTGTCGTTCGCGCAGACACACACTCAAAGGATTAAAAACACTGTCCGTGGTGAAAGTAATGCTTGCCTAGCAGTCGGCAACGTATCATTTAGCATATATATATCTCTTTTAGTATACTACCACTACTTAAAAGTTTTGGTAATTCAGCTGACAAATACCTGTTCGAACTTCTGCAAATTTTAAATTTCCCTCACGCTGTCAGAGCTCAAAACAAATGATTTGAAATCAAGGCTTGAACAGACAAAAAACTGAAAAAACTAGTCTTCTGGAAAAAAAAAAAAAGGATACATAATGAGATGTATGCCTTATGATACTGCCACGCTAGCAATAATATGATTGCGAGTTCGAAACCGCATGTGCGCTACGATTTGCAAGGCGAGCTCTTCAAAATTAGCCATAGCTTAAACAAGCTTAAATTATTAACCTTCGAGTTAGGCCGACGATCGCGTCCCTAAAGAAACAAATGAAGAAAAAAAAACCTATTCGAAGAAAAATGAAATCCAGGGGGTATCCATAGTTTTGGATCCAGAGAGGAACTATGCAAGTCAAGTCAAACCTCAAAACAATAGATCAAAATTGTAACTCCAGTTTCCAGTTGTAAATATCACTGATGGAGGTAGATAAGAAAGCCGTTTACTTCATCAATTTATAATCAACTCACTGATACGAAAGTCTGTTTGAGTAGAATGGGTTCCAGAGCTGGATCCAGATGTTCCTCCAGCTCCTCCAGGAGTACCGGCATCCCCAGTCTCACGGCATTCTCCAGGGTCCTGAGGAACCCACTGTCGGTCAGTTTGATCACCTTCAGACCATTCTTGGCCTCCCTGTTGCGGATCCAACGGTTGGCTTGGTCCTGAGAACACAGCACGCATAGATAAATTAGTCACAAACGGGTTTATAATTACAAGTGAACTTAATGGTGAGATTTGAAGTTCAATTAGCTAACAGAGAAGAAGGCAGAAGCTATATTTATAACTCAACTCAAAATGCGTTTAAATAGCTATGCCTCAATAAATCATTATGTTCTTCAACGATCGATTTGAGAATAGTTCACAATCACTCAATAAGCCACTTAAATGAAAACGCAAAGCATTGACGTGAGTTCTATTAATTTATGTACATATGTCAACACAGGGGGCGATGCGGAGGTTTGCATCACTTGCAATACAACACCAGCATAACAAACATAATCCTCCCAGATATGCACCCAGATAAGCCTAGATGGCATCAAGTACTGTTTCCATAAAAAAAAACAAGCGAAATGAGAATTTAAGACTTCTATTAGCCGGTTCCCGTAGAACAAATCGTTTTATAGCCAGCTCTGCTGTTTGCTTCGATGAGAGGTAACAAATCACAGGAAACCTGATGGCAGAAGGAACGAACGAAAGAAAGTGATATTAGCCAATCAGAAATCAGTATTGGAAAATCTCACAGACAGCGTGAAAATTCAGTTGATGGTTGAAACTTCTGCCATTTGGCTTTTGCGCTATGATTTACCTGTGGGTCGATCATAAGTGGCCATCTGCGAGCCCTGGTGACCAGGATGGCATTCTCAGTCGAGGTCGTGTCTCTGGGAAGTCCGTCCACATTCCACTGGCGGATCTCGAAGGCATCTGCCAAGACATTGGTGATGGTCATGCCCTCCGTCACCGGGATCTCCAGGTCCTTACATCTGCTCACCCACGTGTCCACAAGCTACAAAACGAGACCAGTTAGATTCGACAAAGAAACGAAGCTGGACTTCGCAAACACGAGCAAAAAGGGGCTCCAAAATGTAAGAAAATATGGTAAAATGCTCCCCCAAAGCAAGCTTTTTAAAACAAAAAATCCACCACACGCGTTTGAGGCTCAGACTGCAACTAGACCATTGACACTTTGTACCTATTCCTACCACACAGGGGCGGATCTAGGATTTTCTCGAGGGGGGGGGCGGATTTTCAAAAAAATTTCGAAAATTTTGACGACTTTTTTTAGGTCGACCAAATTGATTTTCCGAGCTGTTTTAAAGAACTAAAAAGACGCTGTTTTGGCAAAATTTTCTGCGCCGCAGGCAAATTTTTGAAAAAAGAGGTAAAAAAAACGTTTTTGGGCACTTTTTTTTGGCGCGCGCTCCCCCTCAAAGTTAGTATGTATTGGCGCCAAAGGCGCCTTTAGAAAATTTTTAGGGTCGGTAGGCCACAAATGGATTTCTTAAAAAGTACCAAAGGGACCCTTTGGGTCGGCAGGGGGTCGAATCCCTGAGGGAGGGGGCGTCCGACCCCCCCCCTTAAATCCGCCCCTGCTACCACATATGCTTTAAAAGGATCACAAGATTTTCAAGAACTGTAATGAATATTGCGACTTATTTCAAAAATATCAATCCTGATGGCAAAATATTTTTTTACATGACTTATTAAAGCTGAAATTTGAATTTCAAACTTGCATTAAACCTGAAATTTGAATTTCTAAAGAAGAAAACGTAAATAAAATGCAGAGCAAAATGCAGAGCTAAAATGATCTCTTTAACTATACCCCCCCTCGGGTACCTGGTATCGAATATCCCCCCTATAAAGAAATAAATCAACGGTTAAGCATATCAGAACTTTTTACTTAGTAAAGAATATCCCCCTTTTGCAAAAAGAGGATATAGTTAAAGAGATCCGGTAAAAAAAATCACGGGTTGATGGTGAAAAAAACTACAAAAACGAAGAATACGTGGTTAAAATGCAGAGTAAAAGTGCACACCTCATTTCTGTAGACACTGGTGAATGCTCCGTAGTATGCGACACAGGCAGCAGCTGCGAACACATCGCCGACCACATTGCCTATCTGCTCATTGAACGTCTCCACACTCTCCTTCCACCTCACCTGAACACACAGTTATTCACAATCAAGCCTTCTGATTGGTCGGTTTTTGCCAAATTGTTGGCAGTATCGGGAACAATGAGCAACTTAATCGATCAAAAAAGTAAAACTTTTAAGTTTATTTGAATTTTTGACAGTTTTACAGTGCTGATTTAATTTTTCCGGATACAATAAACAAAACTTGAAATCCAAAATGCGTTTTTCTCAATTTGGGTATATTGTAGACAAAAAAGGTCAATAAAAAATATGCCAGAAATACTGTATCAATGGTTGGCAAAACTACACCAAGAGCCTCTCATGTAGCCCAACAAATACTATAATCTCAAAAAAGTTGAACAAAACCTTATTTCAAATAAAAAATTGGTATTTTATATGATAAAAGTGACAATTTATAACAATCAAAAGAAAATAATATTCTTGATACATAATTGAAAAGATTTGCCACTCTCAAAAGTTGTTGGACTACATAAGAAACTCATTTTGGTAAAAGACTACCAGCAATTGATTCAGCAGTTCTGGCCTAATTTTTGATTGACTAAAAAGAACTGACCGGCTTTCTGAAATGATGTCGATTTTAAATTGCGGGCTCAAACTTCGTGAAAAAATTGCACCATAAAAATTCGGTAAAAATGTTAAGCAATTTTTCTCTCCATCCTTTTTCGTTTACATCGTTTCAGAAACACACAAATTAAATATAAAATGTTGTTCGTTTTGTCCGGATAATTTAAATCAGCTCTGTATGTTATTAAATGATGATTTCGAAAAAATGGTTTTCGACGTCAACATGAGCAGTTTTAGGTTTAATATTTTCGTTTAGATTTTTTAACAAAAAAAATCGGTAACAACAGTTGGGCACTAAATTTAATAACTGTATTAAATTTCTGTAACAAATCAATTTTACGCGAACACAAAACAAAGTTAAGCACAACAGCTAATCTGGAGTGGTCTCGCAAAGCAAACCAAAATTGCTTCAGTAACGAGTCTAGAAAACTACAAAGCAGCATCACTCTAAAAAGCGCCAAATTTTAACACTTTTTGGATAAAAGAACCCTAATAAAAAATCAATAGGTAAACCTTTTATTCTATTGGGAATTTTCAAAACAAAAATCCAATTATGAAAATAAATTCCAGCTAACTTTCCCAGACAATTGCTTTTTGTTGTTTGAGATAATAACTTGGTTAGTAAAGAAGAGAACTTGAGCCGAAAAAAACTGTTGTCATAAAAAATTTAGAGCTATAAAATTTTCAAAAAAAAAAATTTAAAAACATATTTTACCCTCGAAACTACGCAACTTAATTTGACTAAGCTGAAATAGCATCAGCCATAACTGTTTAATTGAAAAAAAAACACAAATTACAGTAGTTTCAATCATAGCAAAAACTGTTTAAATCAAAAAATTTATTTGAAAAAAAAGCTATTAACTGAAACGAACTTTATACTACCTAATAGATAGTAGTTCCATTTAAATTTTCAAGACTTGAGGATCCCAGTGGTCTGCATGTCAGCAGTCGTGAAATTGACCATTCCTACTAAAATTGATCATTCTGACCAAAATTACCAGAATTTTTTTCCCGTAAACAATTGACCAAAATTATTTACGGGAAAAAAAGTCAAGTACCCGATTGCGATAATCTCGCTTATCGCAGGGGTAAATAGTAAGCTGAAATACTTTTTCTTTAAAAACCATATTTGCATTCACTAAAACTTAATCAAAAATCATAATTAAATTTTTTAGACTTTTAACAAAAAAAAATTGGTAACAACAGTTGGGCACTAAATTTAATAACTGTATTTAAGTTCTGTAACAAATCAATTTTACGCGAACACAAAACAAGTTTAAGCACTACAGCTAATCTGGAGTGGTCTCGCAAAGCAAACCAAAATTGCTTCAGTAACGAGTCCAGAAAACTACAAAGCAGCATCAGACTCTAAAAAGCGCCAATTTTAAATATTTTTTGGATAAAAGAACCCTAATAAAAAATCAATCGGTAAACCTTTTATTCTAATGGGAACTTTCAAAACAAAAATCCAATTATGAAAATAAATTCCAGCTAACTTTCCCAAAAAAAAAGTTTTCAAAAAAAAAATTAAAAACATACTTTACCCTCGAAACTACGCAACTTAATTTGACTAAGCTGAAATAGCATCAGCCATAACTGTTTAATTGAAAAAAAAAACAAAATACAGAAGTTTCAATCATAGCAAAAACTGTTTAAATCAAAAATTTTATTTGAAAAAAAAGCTATTAACTGAAACGAACTTTTAACTACCTAATAGATAGTAGTTCCATTTAAAATTTGAAGACATGAGGATGCCAGTAGTCTGCATGTCAGCAGTCGTGAAATTGACCATTCCTACTAAAATTGACCATTTTGACCAAAACTACCAGAAATTTTTTTCCCGTAAATAATTGACCAAAATTATTTACGGGAAAAAAGTCAAGTACCCGATTGCGATAATCTCACTTATCGCAGGGGTAAATAGTAAGCTGAAAAACTTTTTTCTTTAAAAACCATATTTGCATTCACTAAAACTTAATCAAAAATCATAATTAATTTTTTTTAGACTTTTGCAAAATTTTGACAGAAAAAATTATGATAAGACCTATATTTTTTCAGCTCATTTCAGACCTATATTTTCAGCACATTTCAGATCTAAAATGGGTCGCTTTGGGTCGATATTTATGACTTCAAGCAAAAAAATGGCTATTTGTCGAGCAATTTGTAATTGAAAACTATTGGCTAATGTTTAAAAAAACTCGTGCTTTTTCCGACAACATACAATTCTGTTATATAGTATTTAGTTTATTTGATTGCTCTAATATTAAACGGATGATCTATCCTATCCATCACCATTACTATCAACCACTATTAACATGTTAAAATTGGTCGGAACGATTAAAAAAAATCAAAGAACAAAAGAACAGCAAAGAGAGCGTCCTCAAGGCCGAATCCGCTATCAGTTCACAAAATACACAGTTTGGCCTCGCAATGAAAAAAAATAACCTGTTCGTCTGCGAGTGCGGTGGTGAGTTTTCCGGCCCTCTTCAGTCTGCCGGTGGTCTGTGCCATCTGCTTGGCCAACTTGTCCTTTTCATCAACACTGTTGTCGTACATGGCCTGCAGATCCGCTATCTACACACAACACAAAAAACAATTAAAACACTAAATAAACTAAAATAACAAACATCTTTTTTTAATTTGTAATATTCAACAGCTTTTATATTTTTAATAAACAAAATAAACATATTTTTCCTTTTGGTTGTAATAGTATTACAGCCAAAAAGAAAAAGATGATGGCGAAAATAGTCAATTTTTTTTCGAACACCAGAAAATTGCTGGCTGGCTTTCAACAAATTTTACCATAAACTCCCTGCAATATATTTGTCTGTCAGACTTTTCACGACATTTGTAGAACAGTTAGATGTTTAATTCATCACTTTTTTCATTTCGGCAGTCTTGTATCTTTCTTTTACCCAATTTTGTGGCTGCACACAATTTAAACATCATAGCATTGTGTAATAATTGTTGAACATTCAAGAAGTTTTGACACAAGAAAAGTCGGTGTAATTTAGAGGCTCTTGACAGCAACGTTTGCTTTCTGGGGTCTGTTCTGTTATACGGCCCAAATTATCAAAATGTTGATTGAGCTTCTGTTTTTATTGAAAACGCTGGGATGTATTTTCGCTAATATTAATTTCAACCAATCAGATTCCAGCATCATCATCAAATTTTCCAAATAGCAAAAAGAATAGTTTTTGGGCCGTATAACAGAAAAGACCCGATTTCTGATTTTTTTAAATATCCTTTAAAAAGGTTGAGTGTGATGGAACTGAACTGACCTTGGCCTCGACGCCTGCCAACTTGTCCTGTTTCTCCTTGAGGACACTCATCACAGTATCCAACTCCCCCTGCGCCTGGGCCAACTTCTGTCTCTTGGGCTCCACAGTTTTGTGCACTTTCGCATAAAGGTCCATGGCACGAACCCACATGCACAGAGATTTGCACGCTCTGGACACTTTCTCAACCTGAAATAAACAGAACATTTAGGGGATCTTCTTAATAATTACCACCCCCCTTTAAGAAAAGGGGGGGGGGGCAATTGTTAAGTAGATTAATATAACCCATTTTCGACCAATCAGAATGCAGCAAAATTCTAATTCTCAATAGAAAGCTCAGTGCTAATTTACTGCTTTTATTAATAGGGGTGGCAACTCTTAAGTAGAAAAAAAACAAGTATGAAAGATGGGTCCCGCAATTTTTGAGAAAATTTTAACAACACAAGTAAACAAATTCTTAACCTGTTTCCGAAAACTTTAAGTATCAAAAATTCCTTCAGGGTACCACCTTGTTTTTAGGGACCAAACTATCATACTTCTACCAACATTTATTAAATTAATGTACCAATAGAAGGACTAAAGTGTATTAAATTCATGATGGAATATATTGAAAAATTGACAAAACAACAATAACAAAAAAGACACATTTATGAAATACACGTTCTAAAATTTTGAGAGAACTGACTAATAAAAGCAAAGACTGATTTGAAAATTTCAGGTCAATTTAAGAAATTAATGTAAGAATATATTGAAAAAACTGAAAAGCTAAGTTTGTCAAAAATTCAACAAGGCGATATATTGCTTGCAGGGGGATTAAGGGGGGTGGGTTTCGAGTCTTTCGATTTTCATAGGATTTATTTTTTGCACTTTGGTACCATTTACGAGAACCTTTTTGAAAAAGCGCATTAAGCATAATTATATACTAATTGTGAAGGAAGAACACGCACCAAAAATGCCATTTTTGGTCAAAAAGTCTACAAAACCAATTTTCTGGCCCAGAATTTTTGCCAGTGGAGAGATTTTGGGTCAGTTTAGAAAATAAAATTTATCGACCAAAAGAAAAACTCAGCAAATTTTTTGATTTTTTTAAAACCCCCTTTCAGCCCTCAAGAAAATATTAGATCCGCTCTCGATTACCTCCTTGAAGAAATTACGTATTTTTAAATGGGTATAGGTATTAGATACACATCACATGCTCATACAATTTATAACCAAAATCTTTAATTTTTAATCAGGAAATGGCAAAAATTCGAAATCGGAGCCAGAAAAAGCTACATTGAAAGCCGCATCGAATTTACAAACTTCTGTTAATACTGAATTGGGTGGCGTACCTGATCCGGGTGGAATTTGGGGTTGTCGATGTACTTCTTCAGTTTCTTCAGAATAGTTTCGGGAATGTGGTCTTTGTCATACTCCTTCAGTTTGGACATGAACTGACCATCTCCCAACACCTTCTTTGAGTTATCCCAGTCAGGTCTACAAAACATACCAATTTTTGACAAATATCGAAAACTGTGAAATCATTACTAATTTTCACATTGATCCTTAACTTCACGTCCAAGAAATTGTATTTAAGAATGTCGAATACTTTCTTTAACAAGGAGCAGAGTAAAAACAACGTCAACGAACTCGAGGAAGCCAACAAACAATTAGTTTTGGTGTTTATTTTCATCTTTCTTGAGTTTAATTGTAGAAACAACCTACATCAGCTCTTTTAATTTCAGGAACATTGCAGGATTTAAATTTTCAGTAAGACTAGCGCAATTTGAGAAACTTTGAACTAGGTATTTGGCTATTGGAAAAGGTAATTTGTGCTCCACTTATAATATGAATTTGACAATCGAACTACAAAAGAAACACAAATTTATTCTCTAACACACTTCCTTATAAGGGCGTGATTGATACACAATGAAGGCGAATCAAAGTATAAGCGAAAGTATTGGGGAAAATTCGAATTGTTTTCGAAAGTTAACCAGCTGAAGTTACGATTCACGTAAATTTTAAGATGTAAGGCACCATTAAAAATTTAGAACCAAAAATTCGTCAATCAAACTATACAATAATCATTAAAAGAACAAATTCCGCAAAAAATAATAGATCCAAGCTAGATAATATATCAACAGCTAACATACGAAAACATTATCACAGAAGTTAAGCTAAGTCGAGAAAAAATTTAAAAAGTCAAAAATGTTTTAAGAACCTAGGTCTACCAACATTTAAATTTTCGGAAGTCTCGATAAAAATTCGCAAAAGGCATACATGCCAGACAATTTAATATCAATTTAGCAACGGAACAAAACTTACGAAGAGGAAAACCAAAAAAATATAATGAAACTGGAATGAACAACACTTGCAACTGCAAAGAAAGTTGCTTGCAGCACAAGCAAAATCCGTGATGTGGCAACTTAACCGACAAAACTTGAGCAGACAAACGAAAGTCCGACAATTCAATTTTTATTGAAAAAAAATTCCATTGCAAAAAACAATTGCAAAAAAAAAACAGAATCCGGCCGAGACTCGACCCCGGAACTTAGAGAAGGGACCTGGAAATGGGAAGGAGTGAATAAAACGGCCATGCTATCTGATTGAACTGATTTTGTTAAACTTGCTGTTAACCCGAAAAAAAACTGTCTAAGTTCCGATTTGATAACACTGGCAAATCGCAAGCCGTAATAACTTTCAGGAATAAACTGACAATTACAAAGCGGTAACTGAGTAAACTGAATTGAAATAGACACCTATCAGCTAAGAAAAAATGGTCACTTTTGAGTTCTAATTTTGTGCAAAAAGAAAAAAATGAGCTTTAAGACCATATGTATGCTTAGAATATCAGTATAAACAGCTCTGTAAGAAATTCAAAAAATGCTTCTGTTTAATACAGGAAGGTTTGATACAGGAAAGTTTTATACATGCAGGTGTTATACATTTATACAGGAAAAAATCTTGTTCCCGATTTTAGTTTAAGAAAGAGTGTTTTAAAAAGAGTTTCTGAAAAATTAAGCCTTGTACCCAATGTGATAACACATGTGAATCGCAAGTGTAATGATTTCAAATTTTAAATTCGAGGTCATTTTGACTCACTTGACATTCATGAGAATGCAGACCGACTCCATGACAGTCTGTACTAATTCGGGTGGCTTGGCGAACACCCTCACTTCACTGATGTCATTCTTGTCCAGGGAGTCCAGCGCTTTCTGGGCAGCTTCCAGGGCTGGAAGAGCCTCGTCCAGGTCCCTCTGGGCATCGTCCGCAATCGATTTAGTCTCGCCCGCTTTCACACGTGCCATCGCTTCGTCTTCCGCCACAACGCTACGCACCTGGATATAAGAAAATGTGCAAAATCAAGTTGGAAAAGGTGGAAAACATTTAAAATCAAACATATTTATTTGAGCTGAGAGTTTCAATATCTCTCAGATTGTTTGAAAAGTTCTGCTAGTTAATTTTAGGCTGCTATTTAAAAATTTCCGAGGAAAAAGTATTAAACTGAAAAAGTCAAACAAAAACTTTTTAATTTTTCTGTGAAAACATATCAAATAAAACGGAATCTCGGACATTTTAAAACATCATTATGCTTTTTAGATACAATTGAAACTATTCGATAAATAAAACACCTGTAAGCGTGCCAGGTTTTCATTTATTTGTGAAAATAATTGTAAACTTTGTGTAAAATTCTGTTTTTTTTTGTGATTCTTATCATTTAGGAAATCATTGTAGCAAAGAAAGTAAACCTAGCCAACAGAAAGTTCGGAAAATGTTAACGAACTTTTGAACCTAAGGTGCCTTCCATTTAAAATCGATCGTAATTTGTCTTCCATTTGAAAAATAAACTTCAAGTGAACCTAAAAAGAAAACAAAAGTCAGACTGCAAAAATAAAAACTTCCCAAAAAACAACAAAAACGGGGGCGATTTACCATTATATTCGCCAGCAAATTATAATCCCCGCATAACACAATAATACTACTCTGGTAGGCTATACTTTTTTGTTACTAGATTGGGAGGCTGTTATGGCAAAGATCCGAAAAGCGATGTGAACAATCGCTATCAGGACTATTTTCCCCAGGTCAGATAACTCTATGCCAACCTGCCCTGCAATGATTTGCCTCTAATGAAAACTTGTCCTATGCCGTTTTGCCCCACAATCAACGCTTCTAGTTTGATGTTCAAATCGAGTACTTTTTGATGTTCAAATCGAGTTATTTTAAGGATCAACAAGCGTTTATGGTAGACTCAACTCCTTTTGAGAATTAAATGAAAGAAACATCAAATTAAAATGGTTTAAGTTGAGACTAAATTATCTTCTAAGCCATAATTTTTGCCAATTAAGCACAACAATAAAAATCACCTTGTCTGCCTCTTCCTGGTCCACGACCAGTTTCTCCATCAGAGCATCTGTCTCTGCACTCTTCTTCTTCAGCTGCGGCTCCAGGGCAGTCAGCTCCACCTGCATGTCATCTACTAATGTATTAGTCTCCAGCAGTTTCTTCAGCCCATTTGCAATTCGGTCACGTGCTCCCACTAGTTGTCTGACAGAGAAAAAAAACAGAATCAATTTCGCTTTGCTGCATATTTATATATGTAGTGGTTTGTTTATACTGGATTATTTTTGTGTCGGAAATCCATTATAATCGATTGAAATCCATGGGCGCTCGGTGCGGGTAAGTTCCAAGAAACACTTCAAAATGAAACTAATGCAAAAAATGAAACTATGCATGGGTTGGTTTTTTCATTCCAACCTAATTGAGCCCAAAACACTCCGTAATGCTTTATACAAGAAATTGTAGAAAAAAATACAGAAAAAGTAATTACGTAAATGTTATTTATTGACACAGTAATTATGAAAAAAATATTTAACAGCTACAAAACTAATGCAAGATTTAGTCTAATAATGTAAGTTTCGGCTGGCTGATATACTCTGCACATCTTCGGCTGGTTTATACTTAAGCCAGTTTATACTTGACTACTTGACTTGGGTTGGTTTATACTTGGGCTGGTTTACTCACACTCTTCGTGGGCTCTTTTTTCTTTTCCCCCCACCTCACACGACCATCAATTTTATAGTGTAACGAGTGGTTTTACAAGGTTAATTATGAAAACCAAGTATGTTCGGCACAGCCTAATTAGTCCGCATGTCAGTTTTCATAACGATCGGACAATGGGAACAGTAACTTTACTAGTGAAAAATGGCAAGTGGGAGAAAGGAAAAAGAGCCTCTTCGTGGTACTCACTTCCTCTTGGCGTCCAGCATGGACAAGTAGAGATTGATGAGTTCGAGGTAACTTGTAGGGGTTGTGTAGTACCTCCTCCTCAACTCACTGTAGAACCTCTCCGCCATACTAGCCACACTCACGTGCACTTCCACACACATCTCCGATATCTTACCCTGAATACACACAAATCAGTGTTACAATGCTACTTAATTGTTGTTCCGACCACCAAGTGGAAAAAAATTTACATTCGATTGTGGCGCTCCAGTACGACCACGAAGTGGAAAAGATTTTTATAACGTGGCATTGTGGCGCTCGGGTTGTGATGGCGCCCAGAAATCATAAGATTGCTGGATCAAATCGCACGTGCGCTGCAATTTGCAAGCTGAGCTCTTGCAAGTAAGTCATAGCTTAATGGGTGCTGCTGGTTATATGCGCTCTGGTCAATCTCAATAATTAACCTTTGGGGTTAGGCTTCCGGGGTGGTTGACAATAAAAAAGGTCTATTTTTTAACGTCTACTTTTTTCCACGCAAAATCTGCTAATACAAATAAACGTCAGATGAATTTGAGTCATGTATCATAATAAAACTCTTCCAGTCGTGATTCGGAGTATATATAAAAAATTCTAAAATGTTTTCTCAGTGACGAGAAAAACAGGTTTGAAAGTTTTGCTTTTAAAGACAGCGAGTGGAGCTAATAAATCTTGATTAACCTTAATAAAAAAATATTACTTTTAGTTAGCAAAGCTAAATTCTGAAGCTTCCTTTAGAGCTTACACAGCTTCAAATATTCAGAAAAAAAATCTGAAAATTATTGAGAAAAATTGAGTTTGTTTAATGAAAAACCTTGTTGTAGTTATTCGTTGTGCAAATACGACTCTAATCACTTCAATACTAGTTTTACAAGACATATATTCATCTATCCACACCACGCTAAAAGCGGCACAAAATTAACATTTCCAACGGTCAGTTGTAAAATTGCCAATCAACGCAAGAAAACTGAAAAAAGAATTGCTTTTTGAATAAATTTCATGTACCGAGTTTCAAGAACAATTTATGATTGGCATTCTTTAAACATAATCAACAAAAACTATCAGTTACTATCATTATCAACAGAGATTTTCCGCTGGAAAATCCAAAAAGTAAATTCTACTTTTGAAACTAAAATCATTCAGGTTTTTTTCGCCATTAGCACGATTATTTCTGGGGATAACTTGCCTTTTATTTGACAAATTATTATAGGAAACAAATTACAAAAGAAATCAAAAGCCAAACGCCAAAAATTAGTTATGAAGGTATATATAGCGTATTAACTGATAAGATAAAAAATATTCCACTTTTGATGACAAATCTCCCTCTCACCTTCATTTCATCTGCTCCCAGATCGACAGCTTCGAAGAAGGTGGTGGCCACACTCATCAGGGCTTCACGGGGCCACTCTATGAACCAGTCTATGGTGCAGCAGTTCACGAGGGAGGGAAACATACGACACCTGGTGCGGAAAGCGTCTCCGACTGGCGACATGCAGAGTACAATGTGCAAATTGTCACGCACTCTCCTGATGAAGAACTGGTACACTTCGTCCCGGTTCTAAACACAACAAGACGGCCACTTGTAAATTGTAAAATCAGCAGTTTAGCCAGAATTGTGGCAGCTTACTATAGTGGCGTGGACACAGGTCTGGGCCCATGCAGTTCAAGAGATCAATCACCCCGAGGGACCAGAGTTTTGTAAAACTGGTCTGAATAAAAAACCACCCCGAGCATATATATTTCTGATTTTCTTCGAATGTCGGAACAAAAAAGGAACTTTCAAAATTCAAAAAAGTATATAATAAACAAGCCTCCAAACACATAAAAACACCTAATGAAAACGGCAAAAAGAGGTTTAAATTGCAGGAAAACTAGAAAAAGCCCTGAAAATCAGACTCGAAACAAAAAATGATAAATAATACGAGATTGGATACACTACCCAGAGTAATGTCAAAGTTAAGTATGCAAAAACATTGTTTAATATCAGACTTATGCATATTCGATATCAAAAGACTGTCGTTTAATACTTGATCTGAAGCCACTTTGTCCTTACTTTCAATATTTAATCTCTCATTAATTAGGATTGACGACAATTTTAAATGTCGGAACCGGTTACAAGAAAAAATTTCTTTAAGAAAAATGGCAACTCAACGCTCTCTCGCAACATCAAAAAGCCCAGATATTTAAATGGTCCAGAATGAAAAGAGCAACTTACTCCTTCGTTGAGTCCCGCCTCCTTGCAGGCCGGTCTCACTTGAGCCAGACACTTTTCCAGCTCATCGCTCTCAAACAGATTGGGAACCTCTCCGGAATTGAGGATGTTGTTGATGTCTTCCAGAAACTCCTCGACTACTATTTGAGTGTCTGTGAAGAGGAACACAGTCGGTTTTGCCTGGGATCCCGCTGATTCATAGAGCTTCTTGAGATCTTCACGGAATGCGGAGTAGTCGTAGCCACGAGTAAGTTCAATCTAAATAATTACAAGTGCGATTCTGAAATTTGGTTCAAAAGTACCGAGCAGATTTTATATATTTAAAGGTTGAAACCAAAATTTACGGTGTTCAAATAGAAAGAAATTCCAAGAACTCAGGTGACTTTCCTATTAATTTATATTGCATTGAGTCACAATAAACTACTCCACTTTGAAAACATCAGCAAAACACGGTAAAAAAGAGCCCTATCATGCAAGACAATTTTTAAAAATAAGTTTTGAAAATCAAGCGAAAGATAAGAAATTGGGGGATTTGAACTTAAGAGCTTCTGATTCAGTGTCAAATCAAAATTTTTTTTTAACCAAATCACTAAAACAGGCAATTTTACATATAAACTTGCAGCTTAACATATAAATATAGCCAAGAAAAGAAATATGAACAGACTTTTTTGGAACAGTTTTTATGTTTCGAAGTATATCAAATAAATCATGTTAAAAGTCTTTCAATTTTCAAAAATGTTTCATAAATATCACCCGATTAGAAAAAACTGGGTCAATATGTAATTTTGTAATTTTTTGTTCCACTGGTAATCTGAAAATTTAAAGCCACTTTTGAAACTAGAAGACGATCACGTTTTTCGTGACCTTGATACTTGTGCTGTTCGATAGTGGAGTTTTTCCTTCTTTTTAACAAAGGAAAAGAAGTGAACGTAAAAAGAAGTCACAAGTCAAGCCGCGAAAAATCAAATTTGAATGTGAACAAATTTTAAGATTTTTTCCTGAAAAATAAACAAGAAACATCAAGATCTATATATGAGTGTTCACTGCGTTCATACGAGTATTCGTCTTCACTATGTTCATTGACACCTAATAAAATATTCTATTTCCCAACCTGGAAGCATGCCATTCCACAAATATGCGAGGCTAGTCTGGTCAGGCTCTGCTTTCCAGTTCCCCCCACGCCCACCAGAAGGGCATTGCCCCTGTCCTGCCTGATCATTCGGGCTATCCTGGCCACGTGTTCAATGGCGTCCATAAAGAAGACTAATTTCATCTCTTTGGAACTACTCATGTTGTAGTCGTCCAGGTACTGAAAGATAAAAAAAGGTCATCTCGAGGTCAAATCAGAGAAACCACAAAATCTCAGTTTTAAAATAATAAGAGAACCAAAAAAAAACAATTTCTCATCTCAACTAAGCACCCAAACATTTAACGTTTTATAACTCAATGCAAAAATTTCAAGTCTATTAAATCTTTAAGTGAAACAATTTCCAAGTGAAAAATTCTCGGCCTTTCTTGGGTCGACCAAATACACTTCTGAGATCTGGTAGGCCAAAAACCCCCAATTTAGGCAAAAACTTTGCAAAAGTGAGCCCAAAATTACGGTATTGTTAAAGACAGTGAATAAATGAACTTACGTCTCCGAGCACATTTTTGCACTTTGTGAAATCGGTAATCAACTCGTACTGCTTTTCAGACGGGTCAGCTCCGAACTTCAAAAAGTCTCCGAACACGATCGGCTTCTCGGTGAACGTCTTCGCCTCCACATTCTGGCCGAAGTGTCGGCTGGCGATGTCCACCATCATGTCGTAGAAGTAGTTCTTGTCGTCCCAGTTGATGAGACGGTCGTGGAACACTCGCATGGTCTCGTGACAGAAGATGGCGAACGTTTGATCGGCGTTGACAATGATTGTCGAGTCGCATTGCAGGATTCCTAGAAAAACCAGGAATTTTGAAAATTGCCACCCCAGTCGAGATCCCATTCAAAACTCCTCAAGATGAGTGCGGTTTAAACGGTTATTTTAGACGATTGTGCTCAAAGCGCCCAAACCGCTCAAATCCAAGCAAGAAACGCTCAAATCTTAAGCAGTTTTTTTTTGAAACTTCATCGCGAAAACTTTATTCCGCGGTAATTGTTGCAGAACACACACAACCGATTTTCTAACCCACCACAATACCGAAATATAGGCAAAAACCTAAAATTTTTTCGGTTCCAAAAAATAGTCCTCGAGGTTGATTACGTTTTCCAAAAACTCAAATTAAAAATGACTCACCAGCAACCATACTGCATTAATCAGACTGCATCAAAAAATAAAGACTCAAAAATCCGAAATTTTCAAATTAAGATGTTTTGACAACAAATGATATCATCTTAACCTGTCCCCTCCCAATGTTAAATAAAAAATGATAAATTTTGCGTCTGTTAACGAAACTTAGGATCAATTTCAATTAGATTGCCTCAGTGCGAATTAGAATGATTTTGGAGCCTGATTGATTCGCGGGCGACGCTAGGCGTTAAGAGAATATTTCGCGCAAATTAAATATCGCAAATTAAGGTTGCAGGTGGACCAAAGTTAATGAAATACTTGGCATCAATATCATTCAGACTGTATAAAAAAGCCCGTCAAAATTCAAAATTGAATCGCAATTTGATATTTCTTTTAAGAATTTTTATCCACAAGGCAAAGAAACATACGATATATTAATAAATTAATTGTAGTTCCTGCGAATCGCAGAGGAGCTATCAGTAGGCCTTAACAGTCCTGCCGAGGATAGTCCATTTGTATTATCTCCTCACATTCCAGACAGTGTTATTTTGCAGAGCGAAGCTGTTTTTTGCGACTCAAGGCCGTTTTTTGCGTCTAGAACTTTTACGTGGTACCACTATTGCAGCCAAATTTGGTCAGGTTGTGGTAGACCTGAATATGGAGGTCAAGTGAGAGCTTGTGCTCACACACTATCATTGCCATGGCATGTGATCGAATACACGCTCTGACGATTTCAAAGTGAACGCCTTACCACTGTGCTAAGTGCCTCCCCCAGCCATTTACAAAGCCAATTTAAAAAGCCTCAGCCATTTACAAAGCCAATTTGAAATTTTGAGCTTTACTACTTTTCCTTCTCAAGCAATCAACATAAAATGGAAAAACTGAGAAAAAAAATTTTTTTTGCAGATTTTTTGAAGTGTTTGAAATTTTACTGACAATGAAGCGCAAGATTGATTTTCGAAAATAATAATTTGAGTCCTATAGGGAACTGAAATGACCAATGAGCTTTCCACTTTTCAGTGCCGGGCAATGATTTTGAGTGCGGGATATTTCGTCACGTTTAAATAAATCGCGTTTATACATAACATATATAACTCGATAACATCTTTTAAAATTTTCGAAACCGGGAACAAAACCAAAAGTGACCGCAATTAAAATATCTGCTTGGGTTTGTACTCAGCGAGTCAATATTTTCATCGGGACATGGAAGCATTTTTGTTGAAAGTATTTTGACAGCCGATTTTGGTCTGAACAAAAAATCATCCCAAGTATAACTATTCCGTTAAATTATGCGAGAGTTGGAACAAAAGAAGCTAATAAATAACTCAACAAAAAAAAGAATTATTGGAGGGCAAACTCTTTGCATAATCGCGATAGAAACCAAATCCAGAATTTCTTCTATAGAACCTTACTATTTACATTTTGTCAAGGTGCCATGTATCAACACATACTTATTGATTTAGATATAACAAGACTGCCCATATCAGGGCAAAACCCCGAGTGTTCTGACTGCCCTTTAAAGGATCTCGAATAGTTTTTGGTTAATGAAAATTTGAAAAATTATGAATTTTAGGCTGATTATATCAAATTTCAAGTATTAAAATGTGACTACTGTGTCGAATATTAATGAGATCAATTAGCTGCCTCAATTCAATTTGGAACGATTTTGAAGTACGGTATAACTCGCCACTCTTTCAGTATCAACGTATAAAACGAGCAGTTAGACGCGTTTCACAGCGATCGTAAATTCAGGTTAGCATAGTGATGAGCGCGAACCTTATGTGAACGAAGATCCAGGGACGGATCTCCCGAGAGAAAGTTCTTTTGAAAATATTGCTGAATAAAAACAGGCCACATGGAGCATAAATAATCCTCACTTTTATCGAAAGTCGGAACAAAAATTCCGACAGCGCTGGATGAGACCGAATAAAGCAATAGAAACTATGCGTTGTTTTGTGCAACTAGCACTAGATAAACATTGCCCAATATTGTAAGATTCTTTTATTTTTAAAACCTGCTAAAGCTATCGTGATCAAACCTTTTCATCTCTAATTTTACAGCACCTGACTACTTCTGCTTCTTTCATTTTTGTTCCGACTTTTGTAATAAAATTAACGGAATATTTGTCCTCGGGGTGGGTTTTTTCTTCAGACAAATTTCGACTTTTTAACTAGACATTTTTGACGTAATTTTTTAAATATCATTCAAAAGGTAATGTTGTCCTGAGCTTAAATTTGAAAAGATATGTCACCTGTGATCATTTTTCAATTGCCATTTTGAACAGTTAACGCGCTATATATTTCGTGCTATTAACTCGTAAGCGGAGACAATCCGTCGTAGAAATCGTTCCAAATTGATTGAAGGAAGCTTATTCGCCATAATTGATTTGTTACTAGGAGCAAAATCTATCATTTTGTACTTTAAGTGGCGTGTGTGGGAGGGGGAGATGATTTTCATAAAAAATCTCAAATTGTAAAAAAAAAATATTTTAATTTTTTACATTAAATTTTTTCATGTTATTACTGCTCCATATACCTTAAAAGGCATTCGGAATATTCAGGATTTTGCCCTGATACGAGCAGTCTTGTTTATTTTCAATTTTTGAAATTTTTACCGTGATTTGGATATCGTGTGCAGCTAGCACGGTTACTTACTGCTGTTCTTTTTCTAAAGTATTACAAGTCTGATGACAAGTAATCGAAATAAACATGCCTTGTACGATCTTGGAGAGATCTCTTAAGTTGAAGACGTAGTGGGACTTGGCAGGAGTGGGCAGCAACTCAACTGACATCCTGACATAAATCTCCACCGCCGCTGCCACCACACTCTCAGTTAGTCCTTTCACTGTCGCGTTGAACTCGTACGCCGTGAAGAAACCAGTCAGAATATTCTAGAACATTGAGAAAAAAATTCGGACATTCCAGAATGCATATAGAGAAGGGGGCCCCATGATAGGAAAACCTTATTGTGCTGGGCTATAATTTTTTGCTATTCGGCTCGGGGGAAGGCAGGAGCTTTTATGGGAACGAACCCGAAGTTGTTTTTAAGTTGTTTTCCAGCTGACCATGTTAATTTTTTATAACCTCTTGGTTAATATAACATTTTAGGAATGATTACATTCACAAGCAAGCAACTATATAAATTAAACTGCACGTGGCGCCAATTATATAATTATTTATCTAAGCTAATGTGAAAAATTTATTGGTAGAAATTACGGCTCGTTTCAACTTTCCCTCTACATTTGAGTTTCAGTTTCGAAAAACTATTTTAATGTTGTCATAATGTAATGAAAGTTGCTTGGCGAACAAACTTACTATTGTGAACACGTTTTTTCTTCATACATTACTTCGTAACATCACGCATTCAACCATAATAACACGTAAGATAAATGAAAAAATGGAAAATTTGAAATGAGTGTGTGTGTGTGTGTGTGTGGGGGGGGGGGGAGGAGGGGGAGTGGAAAAGAGCCGAAGACGGCGACTCACCTTGAATATGGTCTTTAGTGTGTTTTCATTGGCAGCTGGGATGGCCATCATGGCGAAGTGGCGCACCATTCGAGGGGTCACGGGGTTACGACCCCCGCCGGGAGGGGCACAAGCAGAGCACAGGGTCATGTCCTGACAGAAAAAAAAACACTACATAGTTAGTTAGTGTTATAAAGAACTAATGAGTTCAAATTCTAAGAAACATTCTTCAAACTATCCGTGACTAACGCAAGTATTCGGTCTAATCATCACACAAAAAGAATATGCAAAATTTACTCAAAAAAACTGCAGCTTTTTTCGATAGAAGGTTCTAGAAGCAATATAATTGAAACCAAACATTATTCCAATTTCGAACCATAAGTTATGTCCAATTCCTCAAAACAAACTGACCAAATAGTTTTTCCAGAAGAGCTTGTCTCGATCGTAGAGTCCTCCGAAGTCCAGGAACTGTCTGAGAAGCTCGATCGGAGGCTGGGATCCGTAGGTGTCCAACTTGGGCATGTTCAGATCGTCCACGAAGAAGATGAGTCGCTTGCCCGACGGCGCACCTGAAATGTTCAATTATGATTGATCGACTTAAGAAATCACTGAACTAATTAAAAGCAATTATTGAGATGGGAAGCCAGGCTATTCTCTGTCTTCAAGAGCTACAGTTTCAAATTTATAAAAATAGCAAAACTCTGAGATCCAAGTTGTTTTTCGCTCAAAGTTAAACCTCGTGGTGAGTAAATATCCCTTCTAGATTTTTTGATCTGATCATCTGGTTTCTATTCAGCGCTTCCAACTCAAAATCCTTGTGGTTCAATAATTAGACTACATTTTTATGTGTTCTTAAATTGTAAAACAGCATTAGAGATGATGATGAGATCACTAGCGATCTTCTTGCCAAGCACGGTTTTTCGTATCTTCTCCAATTCAAAATCCTTGAAGTTCAATAACCGGTCTACATTATTTTTGTGTTCTCTTAACCTTTTACGAGCATTGATTACAAGCTAAGTAGCAACCTACTCACCAAGTATGTTCTTCCGTTTCTTCTCCAGTTTGCTCTCGATGGTCTCCTGAGTTCTCTTGCTGCTCGTCTGGGCAGAGAAGTTCATGAACACAGGCACATAACTATTCTTATCGGCCACCTCTTTCAAGTGGCCCATCGCAATCACCGACTTGCCCACACCTGAAAAGTATGATCACTAAGATATGATCTAGCTATTCGGTTAGGCTATGATTCAGTCGAGTGTTGAATATTTGCACGTAGCGGATGAAATGTGACTGTACTGCAAAAAACTGTAGACTTCTAAATTCATGATTAATGACATAAAAGGGGGATACCCCTTGTGTTTTTGACGCTAAATCCGTAATAATAATCATAATAATAATAATAATAATAATAATAATAATTTGGCAAGGCCATGATTCGGTTAGGCTATGATTCCTCTACTCTGGGTAAAAACGACTATTTGAGACCACTGTTTGAGACTATTTATACAGAAGATAATGGACTAACAAAAAATCTCTCCGGCTATTTATGGAAAACCGCAAGGGAGCTCTCAATTGAAATTAACATAAAATTTTTTCAATCATGTTGCTTATTTTAAATTCATTTTGATGTTTATGTTCGCACTTGTACTTTTTTTCTTTATAACTTTTGTCATATGTGCGTTATGTATTTGTAGGTAGTATTTGGGAAGCTATTTTCATGCCAAAAGAACCGAAGAACAGAAAAACTTCACCAATTTTAATCATATCAACCTTCATTATTGATGACCTTTTTGATGACTCAATCTCTTAGATTTTGCGAGTGTGTTTTAGTGTGTCTATATAAATAAACGTTGCTAGGTAAATAAGACGACATAATATTAAAAACGAAAAACGAGCATTAAAGCATTTAAAGCTAAAATGACCAAATGAACTGATCGAACTTAAGCGGTTCTCACGAATGCAATGGGAAAAATTAAATCTCAAAGTACCGTCAAAAGCGGTTGTCGCCTTAACATCTGTCGTCTTATTTGCCGGACATCAATATTTGTATATAAATTTGGTTGATTGATCTCCGAGGTACCCTACCTGTTCCGCCCGTGAACAACACAGGTTGTTTCACTTGTAGGAACTTCTCGAGAAGGAATCCGAATCGCATTGTGTCTGTCGTGGGTACTAGGATGTTGAAGAAGGGTTCCTCCATGCTGTATCTGAACTGAGGCACTATCCGCTCCCATGACTCCAGTCGACGAGTGTTGAAGTCCATGTAACACTGCAGCACAGGCATGTCCGACGGCAGCTACAAAATTACATCTAATTTAGACTATAAAACGAAAAGAATAATTTAAAACGTCATTTATAACATTAGGAAATTGTGATGCTCCTTTTTAGTCAGCAATCAAAAAGAGTTAAACTATATTTTAGGTCCGAAAATGGGAAGAAATTCTACAATTCTAGAAATTGTGAGCTTCTTTTTTAACCAAAGATCAAAAAAGTTCAATTTGATCAATTCTCTCAAAAAAAAATCTTTAACAAATATGAATTTGAAATCTGTCGTTAAAACATATTAAAATACAAGAATTGTAGTTGTGTCGACTTCGTATGATAGAAACGGATGAAATAGAAAAAACGTAAATTAAAATATTTGCAAAGCCATGGCAGTATCAGCGCATCATCATTTGTGCTTTAGACCTATAAATTTGATTGTCAGTTGCATAAGACTTGCAATGAATTCGACGCGATATCTTTTTCAAACCTTAAGTGATTCAGCGATGAAAATGGGAATGACTTTTCTTTGGATCATATACTTACAAACAAGGGTTCTACTTTCAGGCGAACCTGCAATGAACATCAACAAAAATAAACAAAAAACAAACAGAATCAATGAACGAGATAACATAAACTTAAAATTGTCAAGGACGGAAACTATAATTGCACAACGGTTTTTAGAAAACTAATGTTTCAGCTATGATTTGGAAAAAAATAAATCGACTAAAATGATCTACTTATCAACTTAATACAGCTAATAAGCAAAATTAAAATGTAAGAACGCAAAACAAAATCGGGTGAACTTTTTTTAACCTCAAATCTAAACTTTTGTCCGACCAGAACTGTGTTACTAATATATTCTAGCATTTTGTCAACTTTTCAAATCGACTAAATTGATTTTCTAGGTTCTAATAATTAACGAAAATTTACCAACATTTTTTACCACCCACGAAATATTCCGCGTATCATAGTGCCTGCTTTCAACCTATTTTGAAATAATTCAACCAGTTTTAGGAAGTGTGGTGCAGTGGCAGTGATGCTTGCCCGTCGTCAATTATAAGACTGCGGGTTCAGATTTGCAAGCGCGCTAGGATTTACAAGATAAGCTTTTGATTTGAAAATCAGCCATAGCTTTGATAAGCTTAAAAAATTAACCTCGGATCTCTGATTGTTCAACTAAAAAAAGCAGAGTTCAGTGCGCGCTCCTCTATTACATTCGACATACATTTAGCATTAAATTAGAACAAGACTGCTTGTATCAGGTCGAAGCCCTGAATGTTCCGACTGCCTTTTAAGGTTTATGGAGCAGAAGTAACATAAAAATTTAAATTTAATAAAACAAAATGAATTTTTTTTTTTGAAATTTGAAACTTTTTATGAAAAATCCCCCCACACGCCATATTAAGTACAAAAGGATAGATTTCGCTCCTTGTAACAAATCAATTATGGCAAATAAGCTTCTTTCAACCAATTTGGAAAAATTTCTAAGACGGATTAAATCTCCGCTTACGCGTTAATAGCGCGAATCATATCGCGCGTTAATTGTCCCAATTTGGCTAAAATGGCAGTCTTTAAATCCCCATAACTTTACAAAAAAAAATATCAAAAAACCTCGTGGATAAATGGTCTTAACAAAAGAAACCTACCCGAGCGCAATATTCCGTTACATTGCTTACGAAAATCGGAACAATAAAATGACGATTTGAGTTTATCGAGCCAACCGACTAAAGATCTATTTACAAACGGTATTTTTTTTCGACCATTCAAAATGTGGAGAAACTTTGTATTCGGGTGTTTTCAATTTTTTTCCACGCAATTCAAGTACCACAAATAATCATCGGCATGGTTCGAATGATATATCGTATTAAAGCCCTTTCAGTCGTCATTCGTTCAATTTTGAAAAATTTTCAGAAAATTGTGTCCCAATATCGAGAGAAATTTAAAATTTTTGATTTTTAGTCTAAATTAAAGCGAATAAAGTGAGTTTTTTTATGCCTAATCTGAGCTGTGAAAATTAAGTTTTAATCAACTAAATTTCAATTCTGAAGTTTTTTCAGCGTCTGGCAATCAAAAACTTCAAAAAATCAAAAAAATTCTGCAAAAAAAAATTGAAAAAAAATTTTAAAATTTTTTGAATAGTTTTGTTTTTCAAGTCATTGTTTCTACAAAAACGTCAAAAACTAATGACCAATTTGCCTATTTTACTTTAACTGAGGAATATGCCAATGTTCTCTTTTTCCCTTCAGATCGTTTCATCACAACACGCAGAAAAAAAGCGGCATTAATTTCAAAAATATACTTTTAAACATTTTTAACACTATAGTCGGAACATTCTGTGCTATTTGCACAGTAAACAGTTATCCTTGTTCCATTTAAGCAATTATTGTTCCGACCACCCACTCGGCCAAAACCTAGTTAGATGGTATAAAGTTAAGATTTATTCAGATTTGTCATTGTTTTTTGTGTGTGCTTCAATAACGAGGTATTGTTAAATAATTTTAGCTTGTGCACGCGAAAATTCTCATAAGCAAGTTTCTCTTTTAAATTAATTCGTTCAGTTGCAATTTTTAAACAATTCTATTTGTTCCAATTTTTGCAAATATCTCTAGCATACCTTGGCCTCCCCGTTGTCTGAGAACTGGTCTTTGGCGTAAGTATCAAAAGCGTCCTGACTGTTTTCATTGAGGTTGCCACTTAGTCCCCACATGTAAGCATAGGCGAAGGTGGTGTTGAGAGTGGTGTTGAATCTGGTCTCGTCCAGACTGAAGTCGGCGCCTCCCTTCTCAGCTAAGAAGAGCGACTCGAACAGTTTGCACAAGGACACCACCTTACTGATTTCGACCTGTTAAAATGACAACCTTACCCTTAATTCATAACTCTATATTGGAAGCATTGCTCTGGCCTACTTTATTCAGTTATCACAAAACAGAAACAAAAATATACTTTTTTAAGTTCGTTAGCTCAATTCTATTAATATCTAGAAAATTTTTGTTTTTTGAGAAAAGTTTGGTACAAAAAAGTCACCTTCCAAAACCAGAAAGCAAAAAAACTCAAATTAAATTCAGCAATTTTTGACAAAACCTTCATATTGATGTTCATATGCTCGTTAATATTGAGCAGCAAAAGCTTCAAGCGTTCCAAGCTAAGCGGAAAAAACCTCCTGGTTTACCTTTGACTATTATCACCCAATAAAAATTGTTTGCATGAACGAACGAAAAACACCCAACAACTAAACACCGACACAATAATTTTACCTAATGTACCATCACAATAATTATTTTTTGCTCCAACCAAAATTATAACGTCATAAGATCACATATGCAAAAAGTTCCCCAGTGCAAAAATATCCCATATAACCAACCGTTTCAAAATAATATTGATGACGTGAATTAGGAGACATACCTGTTTCATGATTTCAACTCCGTTCTTGCGCACCCATTTCAGACCCGACTCCACGTAGACGAGGAAGAGGTTCAGCAGTTTCTCCCGCTGTTCCTCGTTGAACTTAGGCAGTGATGCGACCCACGTGCGCACATAGGGTTCCCATTTCAGCTCATTTGGGTCAATGTATACCATACCACATCTAGGTCACAAACAAAACATAAAGCGGATAAAACCTTTGACAAAAGTAACTCACACATATTACGAAGGCGGCTGTTTGAAAGAAGGCGTTTAATCTTTAAGGGCAAGATCAAATTTAAAAATTGACCTTTTGACCCTTGTTGGGCCTCTGATTAACCCGTGCTTCATGAATTTACTTTGTTTCTAACATTAAATTAACTCGGAAATATAGCCTAGGTGCTGCAAAAACGCAATAGTAAAACAAATCTCATAAACCGGTCACTTTAATATGTACTACTTAATTACTAGGACAAAATCCTCCCGAGAACTCCCCTACCGCACCATGTCATCAACTCGACATCATCGTTAAATTTGTACCCTGCAATCTGATTCATTTCGTTTATCGCGTAGTTTTTCTGCTAGCATCTGAAATGTTTTAGTGGAGCCTCGTGCTGCTCTTCCAGTACATGCAAAAATTGGTGGAACAAAGCTGCTATGCTCCACTTCAAGTATCCGTTGTAGTTGTTGGTATTTCAGCGTTTTCACGCTTTTGTGATATTTGTACGGGTCGAGCATGGTTTTTGGACATGATTTGGCGTGAGGGTTAAAAATTTTCACATCAAAAAAGTTCAACTGAAACGCCCTCCGTAGAGTCCACGGTCCATCACCTCAAATATGCATCAATTTTGTGGTGTACTGTGCGGCTTTACAAGGTTAAGTATGAAGAATATGCAGGAAAAGAATCAAAAGGAGAACTGACCTGGACACGGTGGCCGGTGAAGCGACTGCCAAGTCCTGCACTTCAAACAGCATGTGGATGAATGGAGTGAGTTTGATCCTCTCACTATTAGCCAGACACAACATCTTGTTGTCATCCAGCACTGTGTTCATGTTCTCAATCCAGAGGGCGTCTACTGGACCATCACATACAACCCATTGATGGTCAGTGGTCGTGTTCTGAAAGAGTTTAAATACTCGCAAAATGTCACAGAGGCGTGGATTATAGTTAGTAACTAATACATTGCCCAACGCGTTAAAATTTTGAAACAATTAATAAAAAAATTGTTGGCAATAACATTTTAGGTCAACAAACGTCAACACTGTCAAAAATTTTATCAACCAGAAAAGCACCGTTTTTTAAGCAAGTAAAAGTGCTCAATGTCAACGATATTGCCAACACTATGGCATTAACTATAAATCAAGCTCTCTCTGTCAAATTCCTCATAAAACACTTCGTTTCGATCGACAATTGAGTCGAATTCCTAGCAGCTCTTCATTTTTATCGAAACTTGAAAACGTTAGACAATAAATTTGGTTACACAAGACTTTGGTTACACTATGAGTTACACGAGACTGATATAGTATAAAGGTGGACACTGTAATTCTAGAATGATTTGTAGGTCAATTGATTATGATTATATTGAGCCTTGATCGAGAGTTGAATCTCAAATGTTAGAGCATCAAAACTGAACACTTAAAAGTCTTCAAAGACGGACGGGGTTTGAAAACGTTCTAGAGATGACAATGAACCCTATAAATAATAACTTGAAACTAGGTGCAAGCTAGCATGTCCAAAAACATCTTAAATAAAAATTGGATCTATCTTTTTCTGTAGAGGTGGATTTTGAAATAAAAAATTCCGAGAGATGGCTATATTATTTGCGTAAAAAGCCGAGAAAGCCATTGATTAGCGCGTTTTTGAAATATTTTACAAGTCCAGAACAAATAAGCGTCGCTCGGCTGGAAATGATCTAAAATGGCGCGAAAGGGGACTTGTGGTGTAAAGGTGTCCCCCCCCCCCCGTAAATCCACCCGTGTGAGAATATTGAGACTTTGACTAGCTGTTTGATGATTGCAGTTTATACTTACGAACTGATATCAGCCGAAACAAATTGAAGTTGTACGTGAACAACGAATGACATCAAATGTTATGGTGGAACACAAAATAATTTACCATACACATGTTCACAAAAGTAGGAGGGACATTGTATAGTGCAGTAATGGGGGAGCTTTGAATTCGGATCATTGTATTAATTTAACACTCCTCAGACATCAAATGAACAAATGAAGATGACGTCTTTAACAAATATTGTTCCGACTTTCAAAGAAAAGTCGGAACAGAGATTATTTATGCTTGAGATGGTTTTTCATTCAGTCAAAGCTCGTCGATCAAAATGATACTTTTTACGAAAAAAAAATTATACCCCTTTGAAGATATTGATTCCCTGAAAGCAAATTGAAAAGAGACTGCTTGTGTATCAGGCTCTGAATGTCAAGAGTTCCTAAAAAAATTGTTCCGAATTGAATTCAGGCACACTAATCAGTCGTATTAATTTTGTCCCAAAGTTTATGGTTTTTTTTAGCAATTACTATACCAACATTTAAAGGGCAATCGGCTTTTGCCCCGATATATCAGCATTCTTGTTTTTTTTTATTCATATTAATTTTTTTGACTTTGAAATAATATCTAACGAGCAATAGTATAAGTTAGTATGACTCGCAGTACATTACTAAAGCCTGAAATAGTATAAAGGTGGACACTGTAATTCTAGAATGATTTGTCCTTACGATAAGTAACCTTACGATAGCAAGTAGTTAGCAAATAATTTGTAATCGAGAAATTTAGACAACATGTCTAAACTTTGAGGTGCTGACAAGCAAGACGCAACCGCTTCAAATTAGCGCAACCGCTTCTTTCGATTGAACTTTTCGTCCTCATTTGAAAGGATAACTTTACTGAAAAATCAATAAGTTTCTAAAAAAACGGCGAAAGTTCAATAACTCGACTTTCCGAAATCCATAACCTTTTTCTTCTAAAAGCAGGTCCTGACCGGTAAGTAGAAAAAATTCCCTGAAATGAAGATTGACACAATAATTTTCGAGCAATGACACGAAACTTCCAAATGGACGAAGTTTCAAAACTTTCAATTTTTTCAAACGAAACTGGGTGTAGCAAATTACAAAGGAAAGCTTCAAACAACCTGTTGTGTCGATTAAACCTCTGATATGAGATTTGGCGGGATAATGATCAGAAAACTCGTCCAAAAAGGGTCAGATAGTTGACATTTCCGAGAATCATAGCTTTTTAATGCAAAAAAAATTGCGCGTAGCCGCTTATGCAGAAAAGATTCGCCCAACCTGTGATTTTTATTGGACGCAAAAAAAACCCAGCTTTGGTAGGGTACTTCTCGAGAAAAGTCAAAAAAGATTAAAAAAAAAACGGTCAAAGAAAAACAACATTTTGACTTTTCCGAGGGCCAAAAGTTCCTGTGTAAAAAATTGTGCGTAGCCCCGCATGCAATGGAGCTTCCTAAAACCAGTTCTTTGTCTTTGGATTTTACCTTTTTTTGAATTTATTTTGTTGAATTTGTTTTGTATAATTTTTTTGTTTTGCAAGTAATGCGAAGCTCAACTCCGATCCTCTGTATATAATAGTTTTTTGTGATTGTTTTTGATAACCTCAAAGAATTAATTTTCTACGTATTCCGTTTTGGGACCTCTTTAACGATTCCCCACCTTGGGTACCTAGTAACGAATACCACCCTTACAATGAACTAATTCAGTGGTTGAGCACATGTGAATTTTGAACCTAGTAACGAATCTCTCCCTTTTGCAAAAAAAAAAGAAGGTTAGTTAAAGAGATCTCCTCGTTATTTTTTCCTTGTTCAAAATTTGTGTTCAACTACTCACATTGGCAGCTGCTCTGACGGAAATGGCGAGCAGGCCGTCCTTCCACTCGAGGGTCAGTTTGTCCACCTCCCCGTACAACTCCCCCATAGTGATGCTCTTGGGGTTGAGGGTGTACTTGGTGACTGGTTTGTAGTAGTCGTGGCTCTTATCTCCCTTGTCGCACAGCAGCTGGTAAGTGTCTGCCAACACCTGAAATACAACACAGACTTTATTGCAGTTACTTCACAATACCCTCCCCCTCCCCTTATGGTAACTCCTAAAGAATCTTCACCCCTCTAAATGAAAATTTAGCAAACAGACGGTTGGAAAATAGTCAAGAAACGCAACAAAACAGAAAAAAATACTGACTTGTTTTTTGAAAAAAAAACTTGAACTTTCGAATTTCATAGAAAAAATATGGCCATAAAGCTCTTTGAATTTCAAAAACAATTTATGGTTGACATTTTTTTTGATAAAAACAACCCAATTTGAGAACACTAGAACAATAAGTAAACTTTTTATCTCGCTGGGAAATCTGAAAATTAAAATCCAATTTTGAAACTAGAAGTCGATCACGTTTTTCGTGACCTTTACACTTTTACTGTTCGATAGTAGAGTTTGTATTAATTTTAACAAAGGAAATGACCTGAACTTTAAAAACTTAGCTCTACAGTGCTGATTTAAATTATCCGGACAAAACGAACAAAACTTGAATTTTCAAACGCATTTTTCTCAAATTGGGTTAAGATTAGACAAAAAGTGAAGAGGACAAAAGTTGCTTAGAATTTCACCAGAATTAATATGGTGCCATTTTTTCTCCAAAATTCTCAACAAAAATTTTACCCCAAAAATGGGTCATTTTGGCTTTTTTCAATTAATCAAGAATTACGCTGAAACTACTTTGTTAATTGATATGAAAATTATATCACAGGAAGCCTCTTACGCAGTTCAACAAAGTTTAAGAAGGATTAGGTTTCCAAAAAGTTGCGCAAATTGTTTAAAATTTATTTTTAAACAGATATTCTGGGTTTTATATAGTAAAAATCACATTTATTGACTATCAAGTGATAATTTTTTCTCTTATACTGGTTTTTGGAGATTTAACCCTTCTTAAACTTTGTTGAGCTGCGTAAGAGGCTTCCTGTGATATAATTTTCTCATCAATTAACAAAGTAGTTTCTGCGTAATTCTTGATTAATTGAAAAAAGCCAAAATGACCCATTTTTGGGGTAAAATTTTTGTTAAGAATTTCGGAGAAAAAATTCCATATTAATTCTGGTGAAATTCTAAGCAACTTTTGTCCTGTTCACTTTTTGTCTAATCTTAACCCAATTTGAGAAAAATGCGTTTGAAAATTCAAGTTTAGTTCGTTTCGTCCGGATAATTTAAATCAGCACTGTATAGCACTATAGCTTTCTATTGAGAATTCTAATTTTGCTGCATTCTGATTGGTCGAAAATTCGACTTACTTAATCTAATTAACAATCTCCCACCACTTCCTGAAAGAGAAGAAATTGTTCACAAGATCCGAATTATTGTATCATATATCAAAATACTTACCTTTCACACCTTTTAAGGTTGAGATCATTCAGTCGCGCGAAAAATTGACACAAGAGCGGATGAGCTCCCTGTTTACGAACTACAAACATTTTTTGGTTATTTTTGTGGCTGTAAACTGTCGCCTCGCCCTAATTGCCTGTAGAGGAGCCTTGTTATTAAACTAAAAACGGTCATAATTTCCGCATGGAACAATTCCAAGAAATCAAACACCTAAGAACTCCAATAAATCAAACACCCAAGAGTCTAAGAAATCAAACGTCAGAATTCCAAGAAATCAAACACCTAAGAATTCCAAGAAATCAAACACGTAAGAACTCCAATAAATCAAACACCTAAGAGTCTAAGAAATCAAACACCTAAGAATTCCAAGAAACCAAGCACCTAAGAATTCCAAGAAATTAAACAGCTAAGAAATCCATCAAATCAAACACCTAAGAATTCCCAGAAATCAAGCCTCTGAGAGTTCCAAGAAATCTTTATATCTTTATAATTTTTCATAACTTTCTAAAATACATTTCCGCTGACATAGATTTAGTTATAATGTCCAGCCCATGGAATTTCTTATGATACTAATTACAAGCATTTGCAGAAGGCTCCTTTTTCGATCCCGGCCTTAAGAATTAGATCCCGGCCTTAACAACCCGGCCTTTTAAAATATTAAAAGAGTCCATCTTCAAAATTAATGCAAGCGCCAACTGCGCCTTCCAAAAACCTTATTTTTTCGACCTGGAAAGAATAGATATAAAATAGCATCTAGAATCGAGGCAACCCACCTTCTGAACACGCTATTTTCGGTCAATATTTTTTTCGTATAAAGTAATTAAAAAATTAATGCTCATTGGCTAAAAGAAAAGATATTTATCTAAAATTTATGTTAGCAGGTAAAGTAGAGCTTCGCACCGCTTGCGAAACATCAAAACTATAGCATGGAAAATAGTTGGCAACAAATTGAGCCGGAAGTCAGAGCCAAAAATTTTGAAAAGTGAGGTAAAAATTATATCTAGCTAAACTTTAATATCATTATTTGTTTCAAAGAAACTTCAATTTGGAAGAAATGAATCGAAGAAGACAATTACCAGCCTTAAACTGGCACTAGAACAAAACCTACCAAATGAAAACTAATCCGATAATACTTCGGCAGACCGTTCCGCCGAAAAAATGATTCTCTTAGAACCTGAGAATTACAAAAAATTCGAAACTTCAACTTGCTCGAATAAGTTTTCTTCGGCATGGAAGTTTTATTTATGCTGAACACATGACGCAATATGGAACTAAGTGGCCCACATAAATCGCAACCTTTTAAGCCGAATAAACCTATGAACGAAAAAAGAACCGCCGACCTGTTGATTGAAATTCTAACATCCTTGCAACTGTGCAACAGTCTCCCTTGACAATTAATAAATTCTAGCTGACAAAAAAGCCTTGAAAAATTAAATTAGGCCCTAAAAGTAAAATTTTGACTCTGTGTCGGAACCAATGCTAATTGTCCCGAGCATTGAAAATGGGGAGAAACTTTGTATTCGGGTGTTTTAGTTTTTTGTGTTTTTTTTTGTTTTCACGCAAAATCAGATAACACAAAGAATCATCAGAAAGGATCAATTGAGATATCATTCTGAAATCTTTCATTCGTAATTTGAACGACATTAAAAATTAAAAAATGGAGATTTCCCAGTTTCGAGAAAAACAGGTTTCAAATTTGTGATTTTTAGTCTTAACTCGAGCGAATGAAGAGAGTGATGAGGCTTACAATAGCTGTTCATGCTTAAATTAAGTCGAAAAAACTTAGTTTTCTTGAAATATTTTTTGGATATAGCGCCATTTTCGGAATCGAAAACTTCAAAAACTCAAAAAAAAAACTGCAAAAATAATTGAAAAACTGAAGTTTTTTAAATTTCTTTTTAAAATTATGTTGTTTTTCCAGTCATTTTTTTAGGAAACTGATGTCCATATTGCCTATTATACTATGACTGTCCAATATGCCGAAGTTCTAGTTTTTAGTTCAGTTCCTTTTATCACACCACGCAGAAAAAAATGACCGTAATATGAAAAAAAAAATTGTAATTTTTCAAGACTATGGTCGGAACATTCTGCGCTACTTGCACAGTAATCGGCTATCCTTGATATAACTATGTGCCAATGCTTATGATAGCAAAAATGCCACAAAAAGAGAACTTTTAATTGCAACTTGGGGTGGGACAAAAAGTGGACTTTGTAATATAAGACCACGCTGGCTAGTGCAAAACACGACTGTTGCACTAATGTTCCAACAGAGGCTTCCAGGCGATGAGTCGTGTAAACAAAATTGTTCACGAGAAAAAAGTATTTCTCCCGATTGCAAAAGCTGGCTCGCAGAATTGTATATAGTTTCGAAAGTTAAGCATATTTCAATGCAAATGGCGTAACGTTTGGCTGGTTTATATACTACTCGGTTAGTTTTCCCTGCACTCCCAAAATGAATGACTCACATGTAGTACTGTAGTCTTTCCTCCTCCTGTGGGCCCAACTGTCATCACACCGTGTCTCACTATCATAGTCTCATGCAACTGGATCACTTTGTAGACCTCCGAATCCACAATCTGAAGACCCTTTTTCAGACACGCCTCCTGAATTGTCTCTTTGAAAACACCTAAATAAAGAAAAAAATATATATTTATATAGATTAGTTGAACTATACTCAAGCATAACAGTTTATGTTTTATCAAATTTAGAGGAATCAGTTCTTCTTCACTTTCATCTAAGCTGACGAAAAAAAATATATATATTTTTTAAAAAGTTTGAAAATATTTTTTTGAAAAAAATTGAAAATTAAGGTCGAGCAACTTCCAATATCCGTTAGTCCGATTTGTCTGCTTGTGGCATACCAATTTTTTCCTGTTTTCACCAAGTTTATTGAAAGCTAGCAAAACTGATGGAGAATTTAAAATTCAGTTCATTAAAAACAAAAGAGAAGAAGTGAACAACTTCGACACGGTGTTTATGACTCATTATTATTCCCCCAGATTGTAAAAATTCACTAATATTCTATTATGAATCTTTGAATAATATTCTTTAATAACTCCATTTGTACCGTAATCGTGCTCTGGAATCTCCACTCCCGGAAACAAGTCCAGAAGAATCGCTCGGAACAGAATCGCATCGTCCACCAAGAACTTCGGCAAGTTACTGTCGCGGAGAGCTCGGATCAGGACGACATCTTCGCTCTTGTCTGGATTCTCTCGCTTCAGAGTTCCGGCCATGACCAAGACAGACTTGACAGCTCTCATTCCGAAATCGTAGTGGTCTTGTTGGGACAGCTGTTCGGAACAGAGTTTGTACATCTGTACCATTTTACGGGCCAAGATTTTGGACTCTTCGAACCCTTCAGAGTAGAGAATGACCTCAGCGATGAGACCTAAAAAGCAAGCAAATCAAATTGAAAAAAAAAATTACAACAAATTAAAATGACATGTTTTTTTTTCAAAAAAAAAAGATTTTAAAATAATTGAAAATTTTCGATTTGGCAGCACAACTTTTTCTAACTAGTATTAGATATGAGTTATATTTGAGATGCTTGTAGATTAATCATCTTTGCTAGCAATATACGTTTTGGTTTCGAAATACCAGGAGTAAAAATGAAATTGATTCAAAACATACTTTTTAGTGAAAAAAAAATTATAACACTGACAAGGATAGCCGGTTACTGCGCAAGTAGCACAGAATGCTCCGACCATAGTCTTAAAAAACTACAAATTTTCAAAAATTCTTAACATCGTTCGAATCACGACTGAAAAAATGAAAACCAAATTCAACTTAATGTATGAAACAAAATACAATAATCGGAAATGCTTATGAACAACTTAAAGTTTTTCCTGAAAAAAAAACACTGCAAGACCTCATTAAGTATCTGAACCATATTCAGAGACGCTTAAATAAAAAACTATCGCTGCGCCAGAATCAAACCTCCAAATTAAAGGTTAGGCGCCTCGAATCCTCGCCACGGTCGCTTGAAAATATACCAAAACTAGCCAGGAATAAAAACAACGATAGATGCTATTAAATTGCCAATGCTATGCAGTGACGTAAAAAATCCTACAAAAGAGCGTTCTTATTTGCTAGTTAGGTTGGAAAAAAGTTAACTTCGTAATATGACACTACGCTCCGGTTGTAAAAAAAGCATCACGCCAAACTTGGATGTACAAAATTTAGTCGCTGCCATCTTATTGGTTATTGTCATACATAAATAAGTATAGCTATGAACTACACAAAAGAACTGACCATAGTCTGGTACCATCATGGACATGGGTCGGAAGAGGGCTTTCAAATTGTCCGGCAGTTCAGTTCTGCCAGCGTATCCAGGGTTCATAGTGATGAACGCGGCTGCAGTCTGATTCAGTTTGATTTCACGGCCCTCGAACATGAAGCGTTGCAGCTGAAAAAAAATGAGCATGAAAAAAAATTTTCCGTATAAAAACCAAAAAACGTGCACAGTTTTTCCTTGATTTCGGTTCATTTTTTTATTGATTATTTTTTTCCGATAAGATTATCGTGTAGCTTCGCAAATTGACTCTCGGTCTACATGGAAGTGTTGTTGGATTTCCGATAAAATCCGATACACTTTCAACAAAAAATTCCGCCATTGAAGGTTTTTTGTCCTCATTTTTAAGCAAAAATGTCCTCATTTTTATTTAAAAAAACACTGAGTTCAACTTTGAGTAAAGTCCTGAATGAGGTGCTGCCTACAAAAGGATCATAAAATTAGGTCAGATCGAAAACCATTTGAGCCAATCAAAGGCTTCTTTATTTTCCTAGGAGCTTAGATTCAAATTTTTCAAGATGATGATGAATGATGATGAACTGGCGTCTGACCTTCTGAGCCTTTGCATTTCGGATGGTGAGGAGCTGCTGGGCGATGACAGACAACACCTCGATATCGATTCGGTTGAACTCGTCGAAGCAGCACCACGCACCCGACTGAGCCAGACCCGAGAAGAACCGACCCATCATCTGAACAAGGTAAGTTTCATTTGAGAGGGTTTATGTTTAACCTTAGGCATCGAGTTAAATATAGTATCTTGTAAGCGAATTTGCCCCCCCCCCCCCCCCGATAAAGGAAAAATTGAACAGTTGGCTTATACGCATTTTGTACCTTGTAACAAATTGGCTCCCCTTTTGCAAAAGGGGAGCATATAGTTAACAAGATCCAACCTTAGTCTCAATGTTACACGACTAAAAAGCCACATTTCACATTTCCGAATTCATTGACTGAAATTTTGTTCCAACCAAGAATTTTTAGACATGGAAATGTTACGATGTAATTTATGAAGAACAAATTTGTTCAAAATTGTTAATTAGTTCGCCATGCCAAGTTTCATAGCATTAATTATATGAAGCTAATAATTTTCAGTTGTTCAAAATTGAAACTGAAATTTTTTTTTTTAATAGTAAAGCACGACTCAAAAACACGTCTCAAAGAACCTGGAATAACAAATGTTTTGCACGGTTTCGTATAATTGTTCATTTCTCCAAAAATCTTTGCTCCCGGGCGGGCTCGAACCGCCGACATCCGCATCGCTCATACTGTCTATAAGTACGGCGCTCTAACCGACTGAGCTACGGGAGCTCAAAACTACAAGGTCTAGCAACCAATTGTGGCATTGAAGTCGAGAATTTAAATGTTACCAATATGGTTCAATTGTACTAAGACCAACTCAATTGCAAACAAAACTAATGTTTTGACACAACATATGGTTTTCGAAATGAGATAGTTTGTTTGAGTACACGATTGATTATTTTAGAAACTCTGCCTGCAGTTCGGAATAGAAATCCAGGCTCTTTTACCATTCCCCCTTCACGTGAGTGAAATTACGTGTACAATGCCTGATGGTTTTGAATGATTGTGTAGTATACATATGGTGATTACCAACAACCTTGTAAAATCAATAGTTCACGCTCAAAATCTATTATCGGTAGCGGGGGACGTTAAAAGAAGTCAAATGAAGAAGGAAAAAGTGTTATTCCACATAGGGTTTCATAATTTTGAAATCAACTCTTTTCTACTCCCCCCCCCCCACCTTTCAATTCCAATTTTCAAAAACTACTTTAGCATTGTCATAATGCAATGAAACTTGATATGGTGAACTAACTAACAATTGTTAACAGATTTGTTCTTCACACCTCAGATCAACCTAACATCACGCATTCAGCGATATTAACATGTAAATCAACAATTTAAAAAAAAAGAAAATAAAAAATTGGAAAAGAGCCTTGAAATCTTTCATATCTGACCTTGAAGTCAAGGCCCTCTGAGCAATTGAACACGACACACTGTTTGGCCAGGGACTTGGCCAGATCCTTAGTGGTCTCTGTCTTTCCTGTTCCTGCAGGTCCAGCTGGAGCTCCTCCCAGATCCAGTTCCAAGGCACCCATCAAACAGAGATAGCAACGATCCTGAAGAAAAAAACTAATATTTCTTAGGAGACAAAGAAAATAAATCCAAGATATATTATGCCTTTAACAAAATAAGTGAGCCAATGAGCATTTTTGATATGAAGTCGTGATTGGGCAGTTTTTACAGCTTTTTTTTTCAAATTCGTAACATAGGAAATTACAAATTACTGCTTTAAAGTACAATTTAGATTAGCATTGATGAATTGAATTTGGTCGCAGAGGCGGAATAAACCTTTCATAGGCACAAGTTCTGCCCCTGCTTAAATTTTTTTGATTGTTTTCCGGAGCTGAGAATTGTTGCACAACGCGGACACAATAGAAATAGACCATGATGAGACTCGAACCACCAACCTGTCGACTTAGAAGCAGATACTTATATTTGAGTTGAGTGTTACCGTGAGAGGAGTGACGACTAGACGTGGGGATGCTCCTAGGTACTCGTAGCCGTAGAGGTAGCATGCATTGGCCATCCTCACTTGGCAGTCGTCTATGTCCTGGTTCCAGTAGTACCTCTGGTTCTTCTGCCAGTCGAACGAAGTCACACTGTCGCACTAGAGCAACAAACTCATATTCGTATCCAACCAAACATAATTGGGCATAATTGAAAATTAGCAGAAGATAATGGACAGCCAGTAGTAGAATTTAACACATTCGAAGTTATCATGTTTACATGGAGAAGGAATTTGACAAAAAACGGAACAAATTTCGTTGATTAACACGTAATTGAACAGTCGCAGGAAGAAAAACTTTGCAGATTCGTAATTCAATTACGATACAAAAAATGATGAAAGAAAATGTAAAGAAGAAATTGTAAAATCATCTTCTGAGACAATTTTCAAGTACGTAAATGAAAGATGATTCAAGGTGAAGTGGAAACATTAAAAAATTTCCCCTTCCCCTTTGTACTATTTTGAAATATGAAATATCCATTTTTGGTGACGGACCCTAAAAACTTTCTAAAGACGCCTTCGGCGCCAGTATGCACTAATTTTGAGGGGGGAGTGCGCGCGGAAAAAAACGCAATTTTTTGGTCAAAATTTTCCAAAAAGTGCCTAAAAACGCCTTTTTTGGCCTGCTTTTCAAAATTTTGCCTGCGGCGCACAAATTTTGACGGAAACAGAGTCTTTTTAATGCTTTGGGAGAGCTCGGAAAACAATTTGGTCGACCTAAAAAAAGGTCGACAAAATTTTCGAAGTTTTTTTGAAAACCTATGAATAGCAAAAAATTAAAAAAAGACCCTCAGCTTGTAGTATAATGTGAATAATTTATAAAAAATAAGCCCACAGAATGTCAACTGAAAGATGAAAAAAATTAAAAACAGAAAAAAAATAAACAATTTAAAATAATTAGAACATGGACGGCAGAAGTTTGTAGAAATAACTCAAATTAGGTAAATTATCCGACATAGTTGAAGCCAACAATAAATAGGCCAAAAATCTGTCAAAAAATTTCGAGAAGAAATAATTTGCATTGGAAGAACGACAACATGTAAAACCTCCATAGCAATAACTATTGCACATTTACGAGTTCTAATTTTGTAATTGAAAGTTATATTTGATCAACGCGAACGCAGAGAATTCATTTAAGCTCAAGTTTAAACTGAACAAGACTGCTCGTATATCAGGGCAAAGCCCTGAATGTTCCGACTGTCCTTAATTCATATCGAATAGTTTTTGAAAACCTATATATTTTGGGCAATACCTAAGTGTAAAATTTTGAGTCGTACGAAGGAAGTTAATACGACCAATTAGCTAGCCTCAATTCAATTTGGAACGATTTTGTTGTACGGGATAATTCGTCACGCGTAAACAATTCGCGTTACGCTCTCAGCATTATGAATAAACTCTTCAAAGCGCGCATAATTTAGTCCAGAACATGGAAAAATTGGCATTTTTCAAACCCGCCGAACTTTACAAAAAAATAATCGGATGTGAAATATAATTTTTTAAAATTTGACCTCAGGAAGTCGCTATCTTCAATGGGGTATAAAAAAAATTTGTTGAAAATTATTATTTCGATCGGTGAAAATTGACCTAAAAAAATCACACCGAGCATAAATATTCCGTTTTCTTCGATAGTCGGAACAAAAATTAGCCCAACACTTAAGGTCAAAGATTAACTGGAACTTAGGAAAATTGTGGCCAAAACATTTAGCAAAAGAACTTAAACCAAAGATTAAACTACAAGGTCTAGCAACCAATTGTGGCATTGAAGTCGAGAATTTAAATGTTACCAATATGGTTCAATTGTACTAAGACCAACTCAATTGCAAACAAAACTAATGTTTTGACACAACATATGGTTTTCGAAATGAGATAGTTTGTTTGAGTACACGATTGATTATTTTAGAAACTCTGCCTGCAGTTCGGAATAGAAATCCAGGCTCTTTTACCATTCCCCCTTCACGTGAGTGAAATTACGTGTACAATGCCTGATGGTTTTGAATGATTGTGTAGTATACATATGGTGATTACCAACAACCTTGTAAAATCAATAGTTCACGCTCAAAATCTATTATCGGTAGCGGGGGACGTTAAAAGAAGTCAAATGAAGAAGGAAAAAGTGTTATTCCACATAGGGTTTCATAATTTTGAAATCAACTCTTTTCTACTCCCCCCCCCCACCTTTCAATTCCAATTTTCAAAAACTACTTTAGCATTGTCATAATGCAATGAAACTTGATATGGTGAACTAACTAACAATTGTTAACAGATTTGTTCTTAACACCTCAGATCAACCTAACATCACGCATTCAGCGATATTAACATGTAAATCAACAATTTAAAAAAAAAGAAAATAAAAAATTGGAAAAGAGCCTTGAAATCTTTCATATCTGACCTTGAAGTCAAGGCCCTCTGAGCAATTGAACACGACGCACTGTTTGGCCAGGGACTTGGCCAGATCCTTAGTGGTCTCTGTCTTTCCTGTTCCTGCAGGTCCAGCTGGAGCTCCTCCCAGATCCAGTTCCAAGGCACCCATCAAACAGAGATAGCAACGATCCTGAAGAAAAAAACTAATATTTCTTAGGAGACAAAGAAAATAAATCCAAGATATATTATGCCTTTAACAAAATAAGTGAGCCAATGAGCATTTTTGATATGAAGTCGTGATTGGGCAGTTTTTACAGCTTTTTTTTTTCAAATTCGTAACATAGGAAATTACAAATTACTGCTTTAAAGTACAATTTAGATTAGCATTGATGAATTGAATTTGGTCGCAGAGGCGGAATAAACCTTTCATAGGCACAAGTTCTGCCCCTGCTTAAATTTTTTTGATTGTTTTCCGGAGCTGAGAATTGTTGCACAACGCGGACACAATAGAAATAGACCATGATGAGACTCGAACCACCAACCTGTCGACTTAGAAGCAGATACTTATATTTGAGTTGAGTGTTACCGTGAGAGGAGTGACGACTAGACGTGGGGATGCTCCTAGGTACTCGTAGCCGTAGAGGTAGCATGCATTGGCCATCCTCACTTGGCAGTCGTCTATGTCCTGGTTCCAGTAGTACCTCTGGTTCTTCTGCCAGTCGAACGAAGTCACACTGTCGCACTAGAGCAACAAACTCATATTCGTATCCAACCAAACATAATTGGGCATAAGTGAAAATTAGCAGAAGATAATGGACAGCCAGTAGTAGAATTTAACACATTCGAAGTTATCATGTTTACATGGAGAAGGAATTTGACAAAAAACGGAACAAATTTCGTTGATTAACACGTAATTGAACAGTCGCAGGAAGAAAAACTTTGCAGATTCGTAATTCAATTACGATACAAAAAATGATGAAAGAAAACGTAAAGAAGAAATTGTAAAATCATCTTCTGAGACAATTTTCAAGTACGTAAATGAAAGATGATTCAAGGTGAAGTGGAAACATTAAAAAATTTCCCCTTCCCCTTTGTACTATTTTGAAATATGAAATATCCATTTTTGGTGACGGACCCTACAAACTTTCTAAAGACGCCTTCGGCGCCAGTATACACTAATTTTGAGGGGGGAGTGCGCGCGGAAAAAAACGCAATTTTTTGGTCAAAATTTTCCAAAAAGTGCCTAAAAACGCCTTTTTTGGCCTGCTTTTCAAAATTTTGCCTGCGGCGCACAAATTTTGACGGAAACAGAGTCTTTTTAATGCTTTGGGAGAGCTCGGAAAACAATTTGGTCGACCTAAAAAAAGGTCGACAAAATTTTCGAAGTTTTTTTGAAAACCTATGAATAGCAAAAAATTAAAAAAAGACCCTCAGCTTGTAGTATAATGTGAATAATTTATAAAAAATAAGCCCACAGAATGTCAACTGAAAGATGAAAAAAATTAAAAACAGAAAAAAAATAAACAATTTAAAATAATTAGAACATGGACGGCAGAAGTTTGTAGAAATAACTCAAATTAGGTAAATTATCCGACATAGTTGAAGCCAACAATAAATAGGCCAAAAATCTGTCAAAAAATTTCGAGAAGAAATAATTTGCATTGGAAGAACGACAACATGTAAAACCTCCATAGCAATAACTATTGCACATTTACGAGTTCTAATTTTGTAATTGAAAGTTATATTTGATCAACGCGAACGCAGAGAATTCATTTAAGCTCAAGTTTAAACTGAACAAGACTGCTCGTATATCAGGGCAAAGCCCTGAATGTTCCGACTGTCCTTAATTCATATCGAATAGTTTTTGAAAACCTATATATTTTGGGCAATACCTAAGTGTAAAATTTTGAGTCGTACGAAGGAAGTTAATACGACCAATTAGCTAGCCTCAATTCAATTTGGAACGATTTTGTTGTACGGGATAATTCGTCACGCGTAAACAATTCGCGTTACGCTCTCAGCATTATGAATAAACTCTTCAAAGCGCGCATAATTTAGTCCAGAACATGGAAAAATTGGCATTTTTCAAACCCGCCGAACTTTACAAAAAAATAATCGGAGGTGAAATATAATTTTTTAAAATTTGACCTCAGGAAGTCGCTATCTTCAATGGGGTATAAAAAAAATTTGTTGAAAATTATGATTTCGATCGGTGAAAATTGACCTAAAAAAATCACACCGAGCATAAATATTCTGTTTTCTTCGAAAGTCAGAACAATTATCAAACTAAGAATCAATCGAAGTTATGCGAACAAATCTTTACATAGGACGGGTCTTTTTACTTATTCCACCCAAATTTCTTTATTTTGCGTTTCTCAATGTATGAATGCAAAGAACAAGTACACTGTTGGCAGTGATTGGTTTGCTTAATGCAAATGCAATCATATTAGCCGATTTCTAACAAGTCCCAACTTTAAGCAGATATAAATGTGGTCATTTTTTTTCCCTAGAACTATTTTTATTTTCTGGTGTCTTTTTTTCTGGTCTGCCTAAAATTTTGCACCATGTTTGCAAAAAAAATTGAATAGTTAAATAAATATTCTATAGTTTTGGCTAAGTCTTCTTATTTACGAGTCGAATTATAATTAGGAACAAAACATATTGAGATGGTGCTGAAATTTGATTGGCTAATTCTAGCTAATCCGATTGAAGCAAAGTAGTTACAGTTCAAGATGTTGAAATAATGATTTTTATCGGCGGAATGAATAAAAAGACCCCATAGGACAAAATAGATCACGCTAAAACTAAAGCCATGATCACGCTAAAGCCATGATCACGCTAAAACTAAAATGATCGGCGGAATGAATAAAAAGATCCCATAGGACAAAATAGATCACGCTAAAACTCAAGCCAGATGCAAAAATGACAAAAACAGAATTTGGCACATTACGAGGCCAAACTGTGCATTCTGTGCATTGTAAGCGGAATCCGCAACTGGCCAAAATCAGATTTGTCGCGGAATCCGCAACATTGCTACTTTTTTTTGATCTTCTATGCTGTTTTGGATTCCACAAACAAATACCTAAATCATTGTACTGCTCAAAATCGCTCGAAAAATAGGCAAATTTGCGGAATCCGCAACTGTATTTGCGGAATCCAGAACAGTTTGTGGAGTCCAGAAACAAATGATAAAATATTTGTGTAGTTAAATTGAGCTGTTGCGGAATCCGCAACTGTAAGTGAAATCCGCAAATTGTAAGTGGAATCCGCAAATTGTAAGTGGAATCCGCATTTTGTTTGCGGATTCCCTTTACATATATTTATATTGTAGTAGCCTTTAAAATTATATCTTTTAAATACGTGATTTGATTTCACTAGAATAGAAATTTACTAGAAAAGAAACTTACTAAAATAGATCAGTGTTTAGGATTAATGGAATCCCAATTACTGACCAGTATTTGGGATCGATGAAATCCCAAGTACTGAACTAATTCGACGATTTGCTATGCGTTGGGTTTCTAATCACTCTCAACCTAATGACTCCAAATAATGGATATATTCCATGTTTATTCCACATTATTCCAGTTTTTGGGATTCCATCAATCTCAAATACTGACTAGTATTTGGGATCGATGAAATCCCAAATATTGAAATAATTCGACGATTTGCTATGCGTTGGGTTTCTAATCACTCTCAACCTAATGACTCCAAATAATGGATATATTCCATATTTATTCCTTATTTTTCCAGTTTTTGGGATTTCATCAATCCCAAATACTGACCAGTATTTGGGATCGATGGAATCCCAAATACTGACCTAATTTGGCGATATGCTGTGTGTTGTGTTTCCATACACTCAACCCAATGACTACAATTACTGCATTTTTTCGGCGTTATGCTTCCAAAATCAGTATTTGGGATTGACGCAATCCCAAATACTGACCTAATTTGTCTATATGCTGTGTGCTCCATACACTCTCAACTCAATGACTCCAAATAATGAAATTGTTCGGTGTTGTGTTTCCAAAATACTAAAAGATGACATCCACCGATTTAGGTAACCAATGTTTCAAGACTTGTTCGTGGATTCCGCTGACAATGGTTAAGTCTTTGCTTTTAAATTCCGCATTGCTAGAGATAAGAATTCTAGCTCAGCTTTTAATTGTTCATCTGCAAGTTGAGTATTGAACAAAATTCGGAATCCACTTTCAGTTTGCGGAATCCACTTACATTTGCGGATTCCGCTTACATTTTGCGGAATCCACTTACAGTTGCGGAATCCGTAACAAAACAAATGTGCCAACAAAATTTACGTTAGAGGTATATGTATGCGGAATCCACTGAAATTTTGTTTGTGGAATCCACTTAAATTTTGGAACATATTTCAAGACTTGTCTCTAGAATCCAGGAACATACAGACACAAAAATGTGCTCCTATCCAGTGCTCAGTTTGCCCTCGTAATGCGAAAAAAAGTACGCTACTCTTCAAAAACAGAACATTGAAATATAACTTGTAGTCAACTCAGACAAATAACTTTTTGTTTTCGAATTATCTTTTTCGAATTCAGAATTAAAACGTAGAAAGCTTTTGTATGACCATTTTCGGTCTCATTAAATTTTCATGTTGCACCTAAAAACTAACAAAAACACCACAAAACCATAGTTGTTTCACTTCTGTAAGTGATTCCGATTTCGAAAGAAAGTATTGGAATATTTATGCTAGGGGTAGTTTTTTTCTATAACCGGATAAGTTTTTGACGTAGAGTAACTCTTACTATAACCGATTAACTGAACTTAAGATTATTTTAATGCACGATTAAAGTTTTTGTACACAGAGGCAAAGCTGAGCTTTGTACCACTTGCGATACAAAACGAGAAAAAAAATCGAAAAAAAATTTAAAAAAAAACTAAATCTATCAAAATTAATAAAGCTAGTTGTGAAACAAAAACATGCCAAGACAAAAAAATGTCAAATCAGGATCGGAAGATAAGGTACCCAGCGGTAACAAAGAAGCCGAAAATACCTTGTTAGAAACCTTTTTTAGAAAGCCAACAAAAATCAAAAAGACTTAAGACTTATGAAAAGTCCGCCTCACCCTCAAAAACTTTATTTGCTCTTCTAATGAAAGAAAATGCAATTTATTTACCGTTTGAAAAAAAAACATTTCCTGTGAGATTCGAACCCAGGAACTTTGTCATTCCAGGCGCATTCGTTACTTCCAGACCAGAGACTCAAAACAATTTGAATTGAATTGAACTGAACGTAAATTTACCACTTCTAATTTTGACCTTTCTGTGAACAAAGTTATTTACGGAAAAAATACCCGATTGCAAAATATTTGTGTATCGCAAGGGTAACATTTATGGGTGCTCCCGGGTTGTAGTCGAAGGGAAAAACAGTGCAAAATCATGGAACGTCCTTGCGATCAAATCGCTAAATTTTACTCCGATCAATACCAAATAATCGCTAAATTAGAGCTAAATTTCGCAGCGCTGAAGGAAAAAATATTTCATTCAATCACAGTAAAAAAAACCAAGAAGATTTTTACTTGACCAGTTTTATATCTTGGTCGTATACTTGACAAGGTTTTAAACTGAGTTTTGCGTGGAAGAAAAACAATAAATTGAAAAATATTCATGACTTTTCAATAAACTCAAAATAAAAACTGATGAGTCAGTGTCCTACCTGAAGAAGCAGTAATATGGTGGATAATGTTTCGAGCAGTATTCACACCTGCATCT